TAGTTATTTTGGAAGGAAAAATAACTTATTGTTCACTCCCGGAGTTCTGAGTTTAACTTATCTGGGATATTTCTAAAAAACAGTCACTTGAAACTTTCTAGCTTCATCTACGAGAGGTTAGCAACTATAATTATTCATGCTATTTATGCTTTATCTTTCTGATTGAGTGGGCTCTTGAGGCTTTAAAGAAACCTTCGTGAAACTATCTCACAGATGCACTTTTTTAAAAAAAAACAAACCGGAATTTGATAATATGATTTCTGTTAATGACCTTCCAGATAATGACGTAAATGAATGTACCGCATTTAGTTTCTTATCTGTAAATCGTGCTTGATACTTTAATTAACCGCGCAAATAATTACTTCCTTTGGCCTTCATCACTCTTTCTTTATTGTTAACCTTTGCTTCAACTAACGTGTAATTTCAGGTAAGACAAGTGGAATTTAGCTGATTACGCCGATTGACTCCAATTTGCACAGTGAGTTTAAATTAATCTAAATTGAATTGTTAAAGGTTTCACCACCTTCATAAAATTAATTTAACTTCGGAACAAATACGGCCATTTTAGAGCTCTTTGATTTTATATTATTCCTTTTTCTATTACACATCTTTGAGCAAATTCACATTGGATGCCGTGCCAGCAAATTTTGAAGCCTCTGGATTCTGCTACATCTATACTTTCAAGTCCTTCCACGATGGAATTCCCAATCCATGATAATTTTTTCTGTTCAACCGAATTTTTATGCCCTCCTTTTTAGCTAGGAGTAGTTAAGAGAGATTTCTTGTTTGAAATACTGGTTAAATACAGTTTTTCTTAATCACCTATTTTTCCTGTGCGCAGTTTTTGGATCACCCATGAGAACCGAGCTTCGTCATCCCTTACTACCACACGTTAATAAAGAAGATGTTTTAAGATACTTTACTAATTTTCCAGCATACTTTGAAGCTGTTAAATCTAGATTTTATTCATCATCAACTAATTCGGGTCTAAAGTGACAACTGATGATAGATAGATTATTATGTCATGTTTTTTTAGATTACGAAAGCGAAGCAGATGTTTCCAAACCAAGCTGTGTTCCAAAAATTTTACAAAGCACCCATTAAACTCGAGATGTCTATAATAGAATTAGATCAAACAATTTTCCATTTTCCCACAAAATAGATGGTTTTGTGCGGCCGGTGCCGTTCTGACTTCAACTAATGGACTGACTGAAATAGCTTTTTACATTTGAGATGATGTTAGAAATTCTTCTGAAGCATGGATAAGCAAAGAGAGAAACTTGACTCCCGTAAGGATGCTTTCATTTCACTTTCACCTCGATTTTCCAACAACTGAGGAACAGAAAACTCTTCTGCAGTTTTTATGCTACTTTCGTGCATACTTTATAATCAGCAATGTCGAAAGATTTGCCCATTAGGGGTAGACTAATAAAAAATGAAGTTTTGTTGAGTAATCTAGACTTTGAAGGTGTACATGCAGGTATTTCATTTCAGACATGATATACGCACATAGTACTGACATCCTGTTTAACTCCTTTATTTGACATCCGCCAGTTTCCTAATCCACCTAAATTTGATTACCACGTAAAGCTACCAGAAGACTACTATTAGCTTTCAAGTTCATGGATCGTTAAATCATATGACATCTATTAGTTTGGTCTGAGTTGGAAAGGGTATGGAGATTCAGGAGGCACCTGCTGTTTTTTTTTTGAGAGGACCCCACCCCTTTAATTTCAATTAAACTTTACGAACTCAGTAATTTTAAAGTTAGCTAAATAGATAGGAAGCAATGCAAAGGAAGGCTTAAGGCCAGGCTGTTGATACGAAAAGTAGATAAACTGACCTTGCAATTACCCACATTTCTCTCAGTGAAGGTCAACGGGTCGAGAAATATCTGGCATAAACAGATCATCACACTATATCATACCTTGTCCACGAGTGGTAGATATATGATATCAGACCTGAATAAATGACCAAGTTTGTGCTACCATGTGGGTTATTCGTGCACGAAAAATACCCTTGGCATTGTATTTTGAACGTTTGAAGGGAGCGGGGTTGCCTCTTTGCGGTTCTTTTAGAAACGAGTATTTAATACGCAAAAAAACTTTTCAAGAAGGTAAGAACTAATTTAAAGTTGCATTCCCTCTTAAACCAACATTTGGAATCGATGATTTGAATCAAAAATTGGCGAATTTTATTTATTGTTGATTTTTTTTCTTGCTGTCTGAAACATTTTGATCCATTCGTCCTTCAGTTGCATAACTTCAGGATCAAAATTTTCCATGGAATCAAAAGTTATTTGATCAATACTTACTAGGGCTTCAAATTGCCAAATGGCTAATAACACAGTTTTCAATTGTTACTACAAATTAATATTCTATCAAGGAGCGGTTTCAGAGAGATAGCACTGAGTTGACATCTAGTTCTTGATTTTAGGCTTGCTAGGGAGGTAGTCGTCTTTTGAGGCAAAACGCTTGCTATTGGCGAGTGCTATTGGTGATGGAATATAGCTACTGTTCGTCATTCCTACTCAGTTCTAAGCTAAATGAAATGATGAAAAAAATTGCGATGTGTTTATCATCAGGTGTCAGGTATAGTTGCAAAAGTCGCGAATTTAGAGAGGATAAATTCATTGCGATCTGTACTGGTCCATATTCAGTCGGAGAAAAAATCCTTTAAGGTGTGTCAAACGACTAGTTCATTCATTTATTTTCTTGAGTTTAAAAGGACAATTTAGAAACAGCGACGGTAGATATATCCTGTAGAAATTTTGTATACTGGAATGCGAGAATGTTTAGCTATCTTATTAAGCCAGACCTCTTGAGTCACAAGAATGTCCAAATATTCTGGTAGTATCTGAGTATTCAAGGGTTGAGGACGGCCATTGGTCAGTGTGTACTTGTGCTTAGCTGTTTACACCTTAATCTACTTGATCGAAACTGGAGGGGTTCTCCACTCTAAAGGGATCGACTCAAAAACTGAGCATGCAAACACTTCGAGGGAGATAAATTATTGTCAACTGAAATGAGAGGTTGCTACGATATCACAGCAACTCGTGTACACAAACTTTACCAAAACTCTCTACTTTCTTGCAAAAAGTATTCAAGAGTTTTTGCAATGTGCTGTCCAAAGCGAAAAAAAGTCTTAAATTCTCTTATTTCTCACTCATTTAAACATGATTATGGCTTCAAGAGCTTACATACGTGCGAAAATGTGTGTCGAGGTTACAGAGTGATCGACAGTATTGCTGCGAATATCAAGCTGTAAACGTATAGCACTTTTACATGGTATACTATATTTACTACAGGGTATATTGTTCATTGTACTGTAAACTGTTCGAAGGTAACAATATCCGTGTGGGTTATCGGCTTTTCGACAGGAGGCGCGGGTTTCCTTGTTAATTTATTGAATCGTAATACAGCTCTAAGACTTTTCATTCTGCATTTGAAACCCACGTTTATCAGAGCTCCTTTAAAATTTTCGTGACCAAGGGAGCCACAATGTTGCCAAATTTCAGAGCTCTCAGTTTGGAAACATTGTCATGGGGTAATTTAAAAGATTCCGGCTTCAAAGTTTTCTTTGAATAATCAATGATTTTCTGTAAAATGAAGCTCTGTGTTGCAAGTTTTCTCATTCTGTCGTAGTTTGTTTAAATACCTTAACCAACGTTACGAAGTCATCGAGATTGATGTTCCGGGGGTTACCCGAGGGTCGCCTGACCTTTGTAAGCAAATGAGACCACGCTGAACGTGATAAAATATCATGAACTATCAGAGGAATTTCACCATCTTTTGTTTAATGTGCTTCTTGTCAGTCACCCCGTCATAAAAATGGGGATTGAAATTTACAGATAAGAGTTCTGGATTAATATCATTGCTGATCGAAGTTTTAGTTGCGGTGATCACCTTGATGAAATGATTGAAATATAGTTTGTCAAGGAAATTGAAGAGAAGGAGAAAAATATAGCTTATCAGAGACCTATGGATTTAACTGAAACTGATACAACTGAGATCCTCTCCTGCAAAGGAGATTTGTCCTTCAGCACGCGTTGCAATTCAGTTCAATCTTGCTTGTAACTTCGTTTCTTGCGGTAAGATGAGTTGGGCTTAGAAAATGTCAAACCCCTTAGCTGATCCAAAATAAACTTAACATGAAATTACTCAGATGCGTAAATATTGGCTTTTATTAGTCTGGATACAGAAATAACATACAAAACCTTAAATTGCTGCATATTGCTTCAGGACAGCCTATTAATTTGATTTCGGAACGGAAAATGGTATTTGCGTGATCGATGGATAATTCAGCACGCGCTCAAACAATCCGTGAAATTTGAGTTTGGTGACAACCTAAACATTTGAGCAGCTCTGATAACGAAAAAATATTTGAAGCAGTTAAATTTGAATGGCAGTTTCCGTATCAAAGGATTCACCAGCGGAAACGTATTTGCCCTAGTTTTTTTGAACATTTTTATAATCCTTCCTCTGAGAGTCTAAAGTGAAGATTTGTCAGAACTTACCGGTGAGTTAATATATCGTGACTGTACACATTTTATTCAAACATTAGAAGTATGTTACCTTCGGAGGCTGTATACGTGTGCTTATTGATACAACTGGTAAAATCTCCATGTGGAAATTTGAATGGGAGGATCTAAAATCTCAACATGAAATCTTCCGACTTTGACGTTCCGTTCTAACACGCTTCTTTTGATCATAATTCTTTATCGCATCCGGTATGTTAACGAATAATATTCAGCGTGTTGAATTCGTTGTCACTGGTTTAATTTTCACGCTTACGGAACGCTTTCGATATCAACGTTGTTCCCAGGCGCCGATACCGTTGTACGATTTTCAAACATGCGCGAGCATATTTTCCGCAAATACCTCGACCAAATCTATAGCTGTAGTGGCCGAAGGTTTTAGTCTGACAGTGATTCATTACGCGAAGGGAAAGGTATGTGTTACGCCGTGTTACGGAAGACAAGCCTCAGCTAATCGTGGGCAGCCTATCAGATTTCTCCATATCAGATACACACCGGACCTTGTGATCTCTGCTCATTTCACTGATAAACAGAGAAGAAAACACACTTACGTGTTGCTTCTGTTCTCGTTTTTTTTTCAAGTTTAAAGGGAGTACCAGATTGTTCACTCAATAACCAGGATCATCTCATCAGCTGGTGAGGATTGTATCTTCGTGTTCAGCTAGCGCCCAAATTCGGTGAGTTCCACATGCTTTAAAAACAACGTTCTTGATATGATTCATTAGGTCTTCTACATTAGCGAAAAGTGCCCCTGAAACTCTTACAAAGCCCTCTTTTGTTGTAAACGTCTCCTTTTTGTACTAGAAGAATTATGAGGAACGGTTTTAACACAAAAACTACGAACTAATACTTGCTTCAATTCCTCATGAGGTTTCTTTATTTACCTAGTGAGTTGACTTAATTAAATTTGATGAAAAAGAAACAGTGTTGATCGATTTAATGACATCATGATAGAATCTTAAACAAACTTGTTTGTCCAGGGTTCTATATTAAGCGCGGTCGAAGAAATATATAATGCGCTCTTCATGTGTTCGCTGGTAGGAAAATAAAATTGAAATCTGTTTTCAGCTTAGCTCAGTAAAAATGCTGGCAAAATTTCTCTGAAACGCTTCCCGTCTTTTTAACATTTTGGCTTGGCGTTCAGCTATATCCTGCCTATGAAGTAAATACCATTAGGGTTTGTTTGATTTCTTAATAGGTATAAAGTTAATTTAGGGTTTGCATTTATTAATCTGGTGAACAGTTCAGTTTAAACATGATGTTGCATTTCGACTTCCACAGATATGCCAAATATTCTCTTTATATGCCGTTTAGGCATCTGTGTTAAATATATTACAACTGGTATGCAGTTGCCAAATTTCCTCTTTCTCAGAAGATGCCGATGTAAACAACATCTCTAATAAGATTGCCTGCAAGTAGAGGTTTATATTCTAGCTAAACGGTGTTGATCCTAAAGTTGATAGTTTGTTCTGCGCTTCAGATCTCTTACCAACAAAACTGAAACAGTCATTGATACAGAGAACAATAGTTCTAACTTGATCCCGCTGTGTTTCAAAAACTTGAAATTAAAAATAGCATGAAATCATTTTGTGTGGCACGTAAACATAGTTACATGATGACGTTCGGTGGGCAAAGTATTAATTAAAAATAATATCGCAACGATTAACAAGCATGCATGGATGAAATGAAACGTTCATTCCTTTAAAAGTTTAGAACGGTCCCAAATCAGACAGATTTAATATACTCTGCCTTACTTAATTGTTAATCTGGTTTTCAAGAACGTCGTCTTAAAGCTCCTTTTCAGGTAAGCTAAAAGGTGTTACCAATGCAACTAACTGTTGATGACTTTCCACGAAGGTTATCATGATTGGTAGGGCGCAACTGAAACCTTTGCCATTCATCAAAACACGACGCTTTGACATTTGCTAAACCTTATTGGCAGAACTAAAGCTCTCCAAGACTTTTGTATACCTCATAACTGCATCAAAATCCTAAAGAAAATGATATATTTAGCACCTATGAATTATAGTAATGTAGCTCCTTTATTGCTCTACGTTCGTGATCGGAATTTATGAAGTTATTTTTGTCTTAAGGCCATTCTCAGTCACGTAAACAAAGGCGGAAATTGAAATATCTTGGAACGTCGAGAGGTTATAGAAAGTGCTGGCAAACTGTACCTTTTAAGCCTTGTTTGGCTTAATATACACAATAGATAGCATCAGAGATAACAGAAACAACTTCTAACACAAGCGTTACAGCGAAAAGGTGCCCTCAATATTTCGAGAAGTGAACCGTAAATTGCTCATACATTGTTATCATTTGCTTTCCTTAATCAACAAACGAGGAGTTCACACTAAAAAATGTTTGAAAAACTTGAGGAGCAATGACAAAGATTTAAAAAAAATGATGGAACGTTTTGAAGATTTGTTTAATTTAGGGATTTTATGGGAGTGTCTAGAGTTATTCTCTATAAAACACTGATTTAAAGTCATAATCTTGTTAATGATCCATTGTGTCATTACTTGTTCTGGCGGTGATACATATTATTCCTGTCTTGTGTTGCATTTAAATGCATGAACCCTATATAGATGATAAAGTTGCAGTTTAATCTGAGATTTTGACGAAAAAAAATCCTTGACTTCTAAGAAGCTTATATAACTCTTTCAGTACTATAGTTGGAATACTTGCGAACCACAGTTTAAATACTATAACTTTGTGGGTCGATTTTCTTTAAAGGTGCGTCTGTCATTTGACTTTCTTTTTCTCGTGTCACAAAAACGAAAAAAATCGTGCAGTAATGGTCACAATTTGCTCGTGTAATAAACATAATCACATTAACTTGTCGAAGCGGAATCTATTAAAGGAAAGGTCAAGCCTTCTGTGGGCGTTCATTTCCTTGGCCATATTTTTACGTAACTTAGACGCCCACGCCCTACGTGTGGTTAGGACTGTTATTTTCTTGCATTCCATTGGTTGTTTTTGGTTTTAAAAATGCAAGTTAATTGTCAAAAACTTCCCGTGAAGCTTGCTTCAAGTCTTTCATTCCTTGAAAGTTTCGTCCTCAACAGGCCAGAAAATCTACAAAATCTTCAGTTTTTGACAATCTTACCAGGTTTGTTTGAGACTTTTATTCGATAGGACGAGCTTTTTAATTTAGTCAGTTCAGCTTTAGAGTAAATCCCTGTTATCGCTGAAGATCTTTCTCCGCTTTTCAGAAGCGTCCACGCGGTAAAAGGGATTCGTTGCAAAACTCTGGGCACACACACCCACACACCACAATTTTTCTGATATATTTACCATTAGTATTAGTATAGCAAAGGTTCGTATTTTTATCCAGTTGTCTAAGAGCAAAGCAAACGAACGTTAAATTTCCATGTGACATTTGGATAGCGCGGCCAAATTTGTGGTGTCACTCAGTACAAAGCTGTTCGCACGATTTTCAAGTGGTCAAGTGATGAGAGAGTGCGCTCAGCAGTTTGTAAACAAATAAACGCTCTTTCCACTTGCCTTGTGACCTTTTGTGTAATACTACGTCGAAGAAAGAAAAAGCTAGGCTTGATGAACGACGTCTTGATTACCTGAGCCTTAAAATTGTCTTCCAGTGACGTAACAACGTTCCATTGGAGCGCTGCTGTTACCCTGATTGAGTTCAAAGACAGCGGTTGAAATTAAGTGCACATAACAAAATCAGGCAAATCTTTGTTTTGTTTACCCTCTGATACACGGGCTGCGAATCAGCACGTCCAGTTTTCACAGTCGGTGTTAATCCTGTGATCAGACAGGATAAGTATGCGGTCTCTCAGTGGTTTATAGACGCAAAACTGTGTACGAATTGCCGAAATCATGCCAACGATGACACAACTATTGTCCTCTCTCTTTGGTCTTTTCAATGAGACGCTCCGAGAGTGAGAAAACCCCGAGGCAGCTCGCTGTCGGAGCAGTGCTATGTCTCAGTTGTCTTCCTAAAATAAAAGGGTTCATGTCTAGCAATGAGTTCTAATAGGATTGACGACTATCCACTGGCATTTATTAAGACCTCAGTAGATTAGGCACGTTATCAAAACATGTACGATTTTTTTTAAACACTGTGAAGTATGACCGCTTTTCTACAAAACTTTTTTAAATGAAAAGGTTTTTATTCAATGTAAGGATTTTACATGCTATCAGTTAAACCAACATCTGGCGTGGATACGAAATCATCAAATGAATTTGATGGTTTGAAGTCTATTACTTCTCTTTTTCCCTCTGCCGGAAAAAAGAGAGGATTTGTTTGTTCAGCCAAAAAATGTTTGGACGAACATTAAACCGCAGATAAATTGCCTTTCTTCTTGCTTTCCTGGAGTTAAATAAGTTCTCGTAACTGCTTCCGCTGTAGTAAGAGTCAGAGAACTTCAACCGTCTTTAGAAACCGACGTTATCTCTTATGTCTCTTGAAAATAAAATTTGCCTATCTTAAATTTTTGAAGTTCTTCATCGCTCATAATCTTTTCCAGCCTCGGTGAGGATAATATGATCTTTAGTCAAGTTTTTTCCGTTGCTGTCTTGCTGAGTAAACTGAAACTCTTTAGTTTCCGTTAAGGGGAAGGAAGTTGAACACAAGAAAAAAAAATTGACACCGCTGAAATATCATGACTCCGTTCCTCTCAGATGAAGTCAGGAAGCCTACATTCTTTTGCCTCAATGGGAGTGGCTTGTTTTGTTAAGCTGCTTAACTTGCGTCACTCTCAAGGGCTTGAAATGATAAAAAAGAAATAAAATGTTTTGGATTGTCGAAAATGTGATGAGGAGCTCTTCTTCTCTTATGAAGTGTTTCAGCTTTCACGATGGCGTTTGGAAAGACATGCCTAAGGGAATTCCGCTCCTGTCTACATCCGTCATAATACGGACCAACAATATCACGCGATGATAAGGAAATAAGCCAATTTCAGTGATAACATTTCCTTTCATCTTCTCCCATATTTCTGGCCGGACAAAGGTCAACATTTTTTGAAGGGAACAAGGCCTCTTAAATTCAACGAGACTATACAGTTTACAAGCCAAACTATCCTCACTCTGAGTCAAAGTCATTTATTTAGTCAGACAATGCTCTCATCTTTAGCCTGACTCGTAAATTCTGTTGCTTCATTGATAAAAGCTAACTAAATAAAGAGGTAAATGAATTGAAGTGAATTGAGGAGGAGGAACGAGTACTATATTTTGTGGTTTTGTCTCTTAAATTTTTATTACTGTTTTTCGGGTCTAGTTTAAGTTTTATTTGTGTTTGTGGTTTTCATTTGCCTACGGGGTCCTTCTTGTTTTTTGTTTTAGTTCGCATTGGTAAGACCCCTTTTCTGAATACGCCCCTAAACATGCAGAAGAAAATTAACACAAACAGCCTCCATAACCATCTGACTCGAGAGAATAGTAGTGTGTTGACGTAGAGTTTCCTACTTACAACCTGAAATGTTCTCAGGGAAATGCAGATTAGCTTGGTGATAATGTACCGGCTACAACAGCTATCGTAGAATAAATCAATTGAGTCAGACCGATTTCGTCTCAATTTTTTCGAGTGTCGGACGCGTTTTGCTGCAGTTTTACGCCCTTTCTGCCTACCGACCGACGCATTAGGCGCGCGACCACCTGTGTAGAACATTTGTTTCGTGCGAACCATTGATAAAGCGATCCAGGGAGCTTTTTGATGTAGTCTCTTATAGGTCTTTCCTGATTGATGTTTGTAATGTTGTCAGCTTAAAAAGATCATTTTCGAACTCTTTAAATTGTAAAGGTGAAATTTGCCACACTTTCTAATAACTACTACAGGACTCCACATACTCTTGTGTGGGGAATAGCTAATTCCACGAAAATTACGTACAAAATAATAATATTTATGTGGCTTTCAAAGCAATACAAAGTTTGTATTACTATCCAAAGAAAAGCTTTAGATCATTTGGAACTCACTTTTCTTTTCTCGTTCTGTTGTCAGCTTGCATAGATCAGTTTTGTGCTACTCAAGTTTTTGTAGTGAAGGAATCGGAGCTTTTTCTTTGTTCTGCATGAAAAGCCATCATGGAACAGTCTCTTACTTGCGTGGAAACATTGCTTCCTAAGGAATTAATCCTAAAAATAAGTTTATCCAAAAATTACGTCTGGCCCTAAGTTTATTTTCGTTCCCGTTGATGGCTAGTTTAACAAGTTCCTCTCATTCAAAGGTATCACTCTTTTTCACCTCGTTATTCACCCTAAATTAAATCGAAGATTAATCGAATAATACCGTGAGATGTTCATGTTGCGTGTCAGGCCATGTTGTTCAATTATTCCACTTGACTTTCAACGTGTTTAACCGCCAACGGGTAAATGTATCATGTTTTCAATTTATCGCAATAGTGGACCGACACACGGGTTTTGACTTGCTTGTCGCGGCCCATCATTAGCGAGACAGAGATTGAGTTCCGTAGAATTGCCGATTACTGCGCCTTAAGCTAACATGGAGAAACAGGCGGTGATGAAAATTGCGGTGCAGGGGGGATGTTTTGGATCTTAAACGGTCTCAAAATAGATATGTGTAAGACGATTATTTCATTTTGGCGGTACTTCCCACGCAAAAACGCTACGCTTTCACCTTCGCGTCATCTTATGTATGTTAACGAGAGCATATTTTACGGCTTGCATCGGCGAAAATTGATAGAGATCAACTATTCCCGAAGACGCCAGCCATTTCGTTAGGCCAGTTTCATTTAATGCATGTGCAATGAGAAAATTTCCATGTCATGGGCTCACTTAAAATAAAAATTACACCATAGCTAAGAAAACTTGTGTAGATTTGTTGCTTATTTCAGTCACGTGGGTTGAATTTCCTCTCTTTCAGTGTAGGTCGCTTTGCATACAAGGAAGACAACACTTGAAAATGTTGTAATAATGAGTTCTTCCTGGAGATCATGCCGTGTACAGTTATCTGTAAATAACGTAATCGTGTTCTTAATTTAATCGGTTCGCACGGAAAGGAGAAAATTTGTGGAACTTAAATTGAAGAAAATAACTACCTATAAAAATTTTGTGGTGCACCGCATAATAGTTGTTTATCACGTAACAATAACGATCGCCGTTTGTTTACTTGTTTGTTTGTTTTTTTTGTCACGGGGCTAATTGTTTGAAATAATCATCTTTCAACTGGTAACGATCTGAAGGGTGAAATAGGCCACGAATACGAGGAAGAAAATCACCTATTTCACTTTAAAACGATCAATGTAATATTCAACTGAAAAATGTTTAAAAGAATTGCCAAGGTCAACTCATATTTGCCGACCCCAAATACCAAGATTGCACAAGTGAGTTGTTTCTTATTAGGGCTTCGATATAATTTAAACGATATGTTCTGTCGCTGATGTCTGGGATTAACGATTTATTCTTTCATTTTGCACTAGTTGCTTAATAAGATTGGGGTCGGTAATAGAGTAATACCATTCCTTTCTTTAACATACCTTGTTATAAAAATTTCTGTTCTCGAACGATCGATCGTAATAGACAGACAATGACGAGTACATGACAGTTCGATTTACGATATTGACCAGACAACAATGGCTGAAAGTAATAGCATTTACTTGGCGAACCATTTGACACGACATAGCATGTCTTGCTTCGAGACAGATGTGTAACACTGACGTAGCTGATACCCCGAAGAACCGCCGAAGAGTTTTGACACTGGAGCTCACGTTTGGTTTATTTTTTTTCTAGTTTGCTTCTACCTGAACGAATAGCACCTAAACTACCAGAAGAAACCGTCTTTGGCAAGGACAAGACATTCGGTGAGTCTTTTTTTTTTTGTAATATAACGTTTGATCTTGGCTTTCCATACGAGAGACTGAGTATTGAATTGTATAGTACAACTTCTTTATACATGGAGCATTTCTTTCTTTTAAACAAATATTTACTTTTCACCTCATATCTAAAACTTCTCTTTAAAATAACAAAAGCTTGCATGGCTTGACATTTTGCCAAATGGTTCTTTCTACTTGATATTGTTGCAACATTTTCAATTTACGTCGTATGTTTAGAGTAGCTTTGTAAAATGTGCCTTGGTTGATATACTTTAGATATACAGCTTTTAAATTTACTTGCATTTTTTGTATTGATTGTGAGGAAAACACTCGACCAGGGGAATGAAGGAGTGTTTGAGTGTAGCGTGATATCGTGATTTCTGCTCGAAATAGACCTACCGCGCGCGTGGAAATTGAAGTACTGTGCGGCGATTAACCACAAGTTACATTCTCAAAACTACCCTTTGCTTCTCTAGTGGATTGTGAGAGCTTTCAATAGGTATGAGAATAAAAACGTCACTGTTATTTACTCTAGCCTTGATCCAGAACAACATGAAGAGGATTTGATCATGACACTAGACAAAGTCTCAAATTAGACGTTTGAAATATACAAAGAATCTTGGAAATTTAAGCAATTCCGAAATCTGTGAGAGTGACTCATGCGATGTCTGACTATCTGGAATACTTGAGAACATTCTCAGCATCTACCTGTCATGCTCGAGAAAATTGAACCGCACGATAGTTCAACCAGTAAAAAATGAGTTTTTTAACATACCACAGCTTTGAAGGTTATATAACCTCGAAGCTTCCTGGAGAGAGGCATCACAGCGTGATTGTGTTACTGTGAATGGTCTTTGTGACGCAATGTGCACTAATTTTACTTGACGTTGCAACAAGTCAATAGGTATCCCTGGCATTGAAGATCAAGTTTTTCTTGCGGAAGAATATACATTTTTACACAGCCTGCTGTCAACAAAATGATAAATGTTTATTCAATTATTGCATTCACTAGGGCTAGTTTTATCAAATGAGTGTTTAAAGTACGATTGACGGCAAGATATATACGAAGCGCGAAAATCGAGCGATAAACTCAGATAATCCAGTTCTCATATTCTATGGTTTATCAAGTCTGAAATCAACTTCGAAATTATCACCTCCTTTCAGTCTTTAGGTTATCTTTGAAGTCACACAGGTTTGTTATAGTCCGAGAATTTTCTTTCATCATTCAGCCGACATGGAGCCATCGATAAAATATGCATTTGTTTCGCGCAGCAGTTCAGTTTGTGACATGAAAATGGGTAGTGATTTCAGCATGGCTAATCGATTAAGGCTGGCCTTACTTTTGGTCTTTTTGTGACGCTTATATGTTTGCTTTGCGCCGACACCTAAATTGCTAATTCTTCTGCTTGTTATCTTTATGCGCCAGTCAGTTCTTAAAAAAATTATATCGTTTGTTGGTTTAGTTCTTATGAATCAGGGTGAAGATTTTTCTACCACATATCGTGACTATTGACGAAGAAAATACATTCTTTACGAACTGAGAATTTCTGAAAGCCTCAACATTTGACCCTCTCAATGTGAAACACCATAGTCGTGCATTGCAAGCATTTTCGAAAAATATTGAGGGAAACGTTTGATTCTTTGTATGTGGTCCGAAATTAAAGAAACCAAGAGATCCAAGACTTTAAAATCTGAAACATATATTGGTTTCTTTATACATAATTTACTGTGGAAAATACCAAAATAGAGTGAAGGATGTCCTCAGTGACATTCCTCTTTAAATTACTGTGACATATCAGGCCTCTTTCCAGATGATTCCGACCGTAATTCTAGGAAATCTATGACACAGTAATATTATTAGAGCTAATGGATGAAAAGACAAGATTGGCTATGTAAACACTCGAGCATTTTTATGACTCGTATAGTGTTATCTACCGTATCGTTTTCATGAAACCATGCAACGGTTATACTATTGATGTGATCGTAAATTTGCCGATAGCAGATTTGAATTGCGCCTTAATTTGATCTTTATCGATTGTGCTTAAAGTAAATTGGAATCCAACGACAGGTATAATATTTTTTATGTCTACTTGTGTATATCTTATTATTTTTTTGGCAAATGATTTGTTACCTTTATACCTAACTGAAAAATCAGTAAAGCAAATACCGCAGCTTTATTCCAAAATTGTGTCCGTCTTTTTACCTTTTTCAAAGTTGTTTCCCTGCTCCCATGATACCCTAGTCTATTTCTTATTCACTTCACTGGGTGTCGCTTGTGGTCATTCGTGCTTCTTCCTTCGATAACGCCGTTTACTGTCACCTACCACGAATCACTCTTTACCGCACTTAGCGTCATACAGACCTTTTCGAAATTCAGGAATCCAAAAGTACCCTTTACTGGTTGCAAATTAGACCAGTTTTTGTTGCTCAAGTACCTTTTAAGTGTATGTTTCAGTATGAGAGTCTTCAGCGAAGTGCACAAGAAATCTTCTAGGATGCAGATACCATTACTCGTGCAATGTTCGACTCACTCGGATTCTCTGTTCACACAAGTATTCAAAGGCAGCGCAGTAAACCCTAGTCTTGGTACTTCATAAAATTTATGCTTTTATTTGAGAAGAGAAAGAAAAAATTACAGTAATATAAGGCGTCCATTTTCCTCTCAGCTGATCAACATCAGCGATAAAATAAGTAATGGAAGATGTCTGCACAGGGAATATATATCTTGCTATCTGATTGCTGAATGCCCTTCGGTCTGAAAACAAAAAACAAAAAACAAAAAAAAAAAAAAAAAAAAAACGGTTCTCCCAAGGGGATTTCACTGTCAGATTTTTGTGATTCAAAGTAGCTCTAGTATTTGATTTAGGCGTCACAGTAACGATTTTTTTTGCTACTGTCGTCAGCTAAAGACATATCTTAATTACAATCCAGGATTTACCTCTTTCAGTGAAATTGCCAAGAGAGATCCTTTATCCAGAGGGCATTATTTTTTTTAAGGATGCTAAATCTGAGATTACCACATGTTGACCTTTGTCATGTTATTTCAGAGCGAAAGAAAACACTCTAACCCAAAGAAAGCATGTGAGGAAGCATTTAATTCAAACAGGAACAGCTCATTAAGATAAACATTTATATTTTACGCAGTCTTAATGATGGTATTTCTCCAAAAGCACGACTTCATCAGCGGTGGTTTAAACCAAATTCGAAAATCGTGCATATCCCCGATCTTTGTGAAAGGATTGACTTAGGTGGTAATCCTTTCGTTGGCCACCAAAGAGTGCTCTCCTTTTTCTTTAACTTTAATTTCAGTTTGGAGAGATACGGGTTATACGTAAGAATAATTGACATACCCGAGGACAGACGTGTTGCACATGATTTAACCCTTATCTGTGAAACAGTGTACATCGAGATAAGGCATGATTCATTAATTCTCTTCATCAGTCACGGGGCCTTAGTTATTCGTTCCCCCTTTTGAAAATAAATAGTGCTCGGAAGACCAAAAATTCATAGCACAACTTACATCGAACGGTAAGTCGCATATTTAATAATGAGTGTAACTTAGGGGACGCTTTCTTCATTGAATTTTCTGTCAGTCGTTCCTTTTTTTTGTTTGTATCTTTTTTTCTTCCTATGGCGGAATGTTGTGTAGAGAAAGTTAAAATGTATAAGGTAATTATACTCGTGTCAGCAAAAGTCACGATAAACAGACGTATTAATCTTGGTCAAGACCATATACATCTTTTTCAGGTTGTAGACCGTAAAACTAGTCCTATCTCAACATAAAGTTTCCGTTACACGTTTCAGGGCTCGCACATTTATTATTACAAAACTGCAGTTCCAAGCCACCGATATTTATGGACGATATAGTGCACAAGTATTCCATTTTGCTTCAGGAAAAACGTAATCAAACCATCAATATTCTCATTAAGCAATTGTTATACTCTATATACTATAATTGTAGCATTTTGCCAGCTAAGGTCAAGTCTGGCATTATGAGTGTTGTGCTCAATCAAACAACTTGCTCTGTTTCTCATGAGTCTATAAATCCTTCAAAACATTAGGAGCACGTGAATTTTTTGGAGTGCTGTACTTGTTATACCTCATATAATTATGCCACTTGTAATTGGCTTAACTCAGGGCAGTCAAAGTTCCAACAGGTATTCATTGGGAAGAGTATGTCAGCGTGTTAAGCGATTTGGCCGCAAGATTTGTCACTGAGAAGGGATTTTAGACAAAGTTGTAATGGAACTCTCAGATCTGAGCACGGTTTAGATAATTTATAAAAGCAAACGGAAACGTCTTGTTTCACTGCGGCTTGTGTTTCTGTTGGACAGCGGCGGCCAGTTAGCAAACTGGACTGAAATTGTCCCTGGAAAATAATTCTCTTGGAATATTAAAACCACTCGCGCCATTACCACGCATTTTGGCTAAAGTTGCCCATAACACATAAATTTCTGCAACACGCTCCCTGGCGCGCCAAGAAAAACCAAAAAGGATTGTTTAGGAATAGACATATGAGGCGATGTAGTGTCTACCATCAGTTGTCATGCCTTCTGTTTTCCAAATTATGTACCGCTAACAATTTTATTTTCAGGAATGTTGTCTTGGATAGACTAGATTATCGTTAATCTCATTTTCACCGCCCTGACTAAATATTTGCTCAAGATTTGTCCATCTGATAACGACTTAAACCCACGAAATCTTGGTTGGCCTTGCTTTTTACCGTAAGGTTAAATCAGTCTTCATTATTTGGATCACAGCGAACAGCATAGAACTTGATTTAGTGGTCTCGTTAAAGTGTGGAAATCGACTCTCTTTTATCCAAATGTGAGTTGCTTTTTCTACTCTTCAAGAATTCAATTTGTGCTCGAAGGGTTACCTAAACAAAGTTCTACCAAATCATAAACGAATTTAATACTTCTGTGCGTGTTTTCAGCTTAAAGTTAAGTTTTATTACTTTTCATAGGCAAATTTTCATGGGGCATGTTTCGTTAGGTCTGTTTACATTTTCGAAACCTTTTCTTAGATATTTTTCTTTTGTGATGAATGATATGTTCTGGTGGAAATAGAACTTTGAAGAACAAAATCCTCGGTACAACACATATTAAAACAGTCTCTTGTATCTTGCTGGAAAGATACATTTGAAAAAAGGATAAAGGGAAGATCGAGGCACCTTTTTTCTCACCTAATTCTCAGACTTCTGGGGATTGGCATCGCACATCTCTGATAGACCGTCATCTCCAGCGCGCCTAACTGTGTCCCACAGCAAGGTTGACTTGATTACACTGTATGAATAATTTAAAAGCTCCTGATAAGTATATGAAGAAACTCTCTGTTTAATATCAAAATTGTGATTAAAGATACCATTGATTGCGGCACCAAATTGATAAAACACTATATGAAAAATTTTGAGCATGTTAAGCCTTAGTCTTGATAAGACGGGTGAAAAATGATATTTTTTTTTAAACTGAAATTCTCTATCATTTTCTCAAGGGTGCCTAGCCTGATTCGTAAGACGCGCTCAATTTACAAATTTTTACAGAGAAACACTTTTCATTGCCTCTATTGCCTCTGAGTTTCAGTTAATGGCTTTGAGCCTCAGTTCAGGACCAATGGTTAACCACCGGGGGCTCTGTTTAAGTTCAACGTTTTCAAATACATTTGGAAGAACGCATCCTTTGTTAAAATGTAGGAAACTGGGCGTGACTATGGACAGGTCTAATTATACTAAAAATGTCTCACTTGGTCTTTGACAAAGATGCCGCCAGAAACGTTAGACTCCGTCGGAAGTTCTGTTCTTTTAATTCGATTGATTTCGTGAATGGGTGACGTAAATTCTTTTCATTTCGAGACTGCGTGGTTAAGTTTAATTCTTTTAACTCAAATTTTTGCATTTTTCGCAATTTTCAACGATACATAAATTCAACATTTTCTCCAAAACGAATAATTTCTCTTTGGGTTTATCAAATTCTTTTCTTTCGAAAGTTAACGCCATTTCTGTTTTCAAACTTTTGCATGGTTTCGCGCTTTTTATCAGAGCATAGTTGAATTTCTTCAATAGTATTTAAAGATCAACCCTGCTGTGTTTGTTATGGCTGTGTGGTTTCGTTTGAATTTCTTCCCACAGCCAGTTGTTTTCAGTCACTAATTTCTTGACTTTGATTTATTGTCTGCCCTCTTCACTCTTCTAGTACAAATAAATTGGATGCACTGTAATACATTTTCACATGGATTGAATTGACATGAATAACTTATGTCTGAGTTTATCGTTGATATAGTTAGAAAGGTATTAGCAAGAGGTACGTTCGCCTTCGGCTAAGGCCTTGAGACAAAACTCCTATAATCATATCACTCGGAAAAGATCTTTTACTATCTGCTGCCCAAAAAAGGTTTACTTTAAAAGTCCCATAAGTAGTTATACCGGCAGAGAGAAAGAGACCGAGGAAGTTTAGGCAGAGGAGACAAAGTGGTGGTGTATTTTCAGTCATTGAAAAGTCCTCGTAATTATCTTTGATGGATGTTTTTTAAATACGCAATGTGTGCCAAGTGTCAGACAGTTCTGGCGACAGCATTTTTGTTGGCGGCCGTACAAAACTAGATTATTTCATTCATTATAGTTGTACGTAGATTTGCCTTTAGTCGAATTTAAGAAATTAATACAGAGGATCAAAAAGGAAAAACAATTTAAGGTGCTTAAGTATTGCGATTCTTAGATCAAGGATACACAATTTCTTAAAATGCTTTGGAATTTTCAATTTTCTCTTAATTAATGCCTTAAAAGGAAAAGCGAAACTTGATTTCTTTGGCTCACTCACACTGACGATTAAATATTAACCCTTTCACTCCCAATAGTGACCAAGACAGAATTTCTCCTTAAAATATCAACACGATCTCAAGTGAACAAGTGATGAGAATATAGAAAAATATCAATTAGTGAATTATCATTTGATTCAATACCAAATTCTCCAAACTAAAACTATAAGCAGTGTTTGGTAGATGGTTGGGAGAATTACTAAAGAGATTATGGGAAAGGGTTAATAAGTTTCCAAATGGAAAAAACATATCCTCGCACGGAGACCAAACATATCCTTATTCATCAGCCGAACGTGAATAAGTTTCCTCTGAGTGACTGTGAGACCCAAGTACTCCTTATCGTCTGTGTTCGTTTGCCTTTTCTGTTGGTTTTTTTCCTTATTTTTGAAAGATTTATTGCAGAAGAGTGGTTAGTGAAGCATTTTCTCACATTGAAATGTTTGCATAACTTTGGAACGCCTGGATGACTACAATGTACCCATACGTGGATAATTTCAATCTTATAAAATACACAGCTGATGTTTAGTGTTCAACAAAGTATATCTTTTGTTTTTTCTAAATGCTGTATTTGCTTTTCTTTGTCGGAGATTCCGTACCCCCCAGGGAATGGTTTCGAATTATGCTCTTGTCTTAGCCACAACAAATCAATTTACCTTGTGTACAAAGGCGAAATTAATTAAAAAGCAAAAATTCCAGCTAGTTGTTGCTAAGAATGCAGAATATTTTCTTTGTTTGCGAAATGGTATGATGAATATTTTACTCGAGTTGACAAAGTTTGCGCGCATGGAACGAAAGGAGAGGGAGGCTAACAAAAGCAAATCTGGAAAAGAATTCAGGTCGAGGCTGTAGTAAGCGAAGTTTTCATGACAGGTTTGTTTTCGATATTTTCTTTGCACGTAGGGAATAACACCATAAACAGTGAAATAAGCGAGAAGTAGCTGGTTACATTCGACTCACGTTCGAGGATAGGTGGCTGCTGTTCCAGGTTATCTAGTGAAACTCAACTACAAGCTGCTTCACTGTCTCTCTGAGCATTAAGTAACGGAATTATGTAATTTTGAGCTTGAGCAGTAATTTACGAAGTAACGGCCAGAACAGAAAGTTTAAACGGTTTGTTATATAATATTGCGCAAATAAGGTTATCGTAAAAGTATAGCTGGTTTGAAAATGCAGACGGACTACTATTTTTTGTGGTATTGTTTGGCAATGGATCAGCACTTTAAAGGAAGTCATCATACGTATTTCACATTTGAATTGTTAAAACTGACTCATATTTGACAGCAAAGTGTTGCATAACTGGTGGAACGTTGTAACAAGGGAGTTTTTGAAGTAGTCTCCTGCTGCTCTCTTAAGGTCACTGAATAACGTGCGGTTGCGTGGAGTCGGTACCGTGACGCACTCTTATATCGACACAGGGCTTTCTGCGCTTGTCTATTGAAACGCGCTATTTGTTAGACAAAGAAAAAATTGCGACTTCTTAATCCAGCCTTTTAACACTGATGGTTTAGAGTTGGATTCTGGTAATACTAGGAATAGCTGAAAGTTGATAGGAACCATGGCGGACTGGTATCTTCGATCGTCTCGAAAGTTTGTTATAGGTTCCATGCCAGTTCATTTGAATAAAGTTTTGCACCGTGCAAAGCTATCAAATAAGAGCCAGATGAGATGCAAAAAAACCTAAAGTCAAAAATAGGAAACAATAAAACTTTAAGAGAGAACGAATGACTAAAGATGACGAAGATTGACAAGGATTATCATGATTGCAAATGAGGAACTTAAAGAATTTGTCAAAAAAAACGTGACTTAAACAAAGTAGCTCTCATAACAGCTTTCAATGCGCAGCTTGGATCTTACATCTGGGCGTTCAAGCCCCAAAATCCGTCTACGACGGAAGACAAATGATTAGTACTGTGTATTTTTATATTTTTTTAAAGAGAATCCAGAGCAATTTCGTTTCAAGACCAGTTATAATTGATGTAAGTGTGATCAAAGTTGCGGGGTAAGATTAAAATCGTGTCCGTAAGGTTTTCGTGAGTAATTTTTTTTTGTACAGCTCTGAACTAAACTACCTTCCTAAAGAAATGAAACTTTAAGTCCAAACGAATGCTTTGCGAGCTTGCAAAAAATAACGGAGAACTTACAGATTTTGTTTTTCTTCTTTCGCAGAATAAAATGAAGGAGCAAATGTTATTATTGATTCTCCTAGTCGCGTCATGTTGGAAATCCACAACTGCTTTGGGTAAGGAACGTCTTTCAGTTAAACATGATCATTGCCCAGTAGCATTACATATCGTCATTTCTAGCCTCGCAGTATGCAGGAAGTTTGAAACCATTGACCTTGGTAAACGACCTGCCACTACTCTCCTATAGCTCAGAGGTAGAGTATCCAATGTACTAATCGGAATGTCATAGATCCGACTCCTATTGGATGCACTCGGGTCTTTTTCTCTGAGTAGGCCTGTGTCACTCACAAACTGACATCAAACTTAATAAATATTTTGAATAAAATTTTGCTACAATTTTAAAAATTCGTAAGCTACAGTCTAACGTGTAAGTGCTTATACTCATGTTTATTTAAATATGCATCTATATCTATATTTTTTCTTGTTCTATTCACTAATGGTATTTTATCCTCATTAATCATTGACATTTTTTCTTTTTATCCGTAGAAATAAAGGTACTGTCGTCTCTATTCGAAAAATCAATCAGCCCTTTGGACTATAACGTACGAACAATCTTCACGCCAGAGAGAAGAAAGGCGTATCTCTTTGGAAATGCCATTAAAATTATCCGAGCTGACGAGGAACTTTTGAACGAACTTATATTTAATATTGAATCAAGTACGGAGTTCATTATCAAAACTCGCTTCCGTATCTTTGCAAGCCCAGGGGGTGTTCTTTTCTCTATTGTACACCGTCAAAGAAAGCTGTTTCTTATGGAGTTGTCTTCCAAGGGATCTGGCGATAAAACAAAACTTATATTCAAGTACAGATCGACCAATGACACGACCGAGGCTGTCGTATTCAAAGAAGTTGGGTCTTTGGTGGATCGTGGTTATCACACGGTGGTTATTCGCATCACAGATGTCAAAGACAATGGAAAAAAAATTTCGGCGCTGTCTCTTTTCGTGGATTGTCAGTTTGCTGGCCGAGTTGACACTAAATCGGCCATCTCGGACATCTTCTCCTACAGAGGCACATTGCTCTCATTGTTGGATTTCCGCATTGCGCAAAGAGGATTTGGATCCAAATCCAACTCGAAGTGGAGGGTAATTTACATTTAGTGAACGATAACCCAAAATTTGCTTAAAGTATGCAAAAGAAAACCGAGCAATCGGAAAATTCTAAGCTTCGACGAGATGTCGAAAAGTAAAAAATCTTGGCTTATTCGCGCCTAATGCAGTCTGGGGAATATCACTCGGGGAATTTTACCAGCTCATTCTTTGTTTCTAGTTGAGACTGAGGAATGATTGTAAACGTGGGGTGAGGAATTATTTCTGGTAATTATTAGTACCTTGCGAATTCTGACGCTCTGAACTAGCTGACCTCCAAGAGAAGTCGGAATCCGTTATAGCAACATTACCGTCAGTCGTTTACCTCATAATACTAGTATTCCCTGGAGTTCCACGACATGAGAGAAGACAAATTTTGCATGTTGCGTCTTAAACATCTCGTTTCCCTACAGCACATATACTAAAGTTCTCTATTTGAGTGTTTCACTTTTTCTCTCAGGGCGCCATAGAATCGCTTTCATTCATCTTCAAACGCTCCTTGGACAGTGTCCTTGGTGGACCAGACTGTGAAAGCGCTGTTAAGGAGGGAGGTAACCAACTGAGAACTTCTACTTGTAAATTTTTAGCTAATCCTGGAAAAGAAATGTATTCTCTATCGTGTTCTGCTGTTGTCTTCCCGTTAGTGAAAGCTCCTCAGCCACCGGAGATTAACGATATAAGCGTAATTACTCATGAAGTGGCTACTGAATTGATGGGCCTCATACGGGATATTCGATACGACTTATCCATGCAGGTAAAGTGTTTGCGTATTGCTCACGTGATATTCTTATGTATAAATCTAGGCGGTATTAACAGGAAAAAGTAAAGTTTTCCACGTTATTTTGGATGGAAAAACAAGATAAGTTATTCCACTATACTTCTCTGAGCGTCTGAGGCTTTTGCGAAAGTTAAAGTAATTAGTTTTCCATGTTAAGTGTACTTGACAGGAAAATCTTATTTTAAATGCAACGTCAGCAGAAAATTATCGGAGGCCTTTTCCAAATAATGTCATGAACAGTCCACCGTAAGGAAATAGGCTAGACACGTGAAAGTAAAACCAATAGATTTTCGTTTGTTTTGTGAAACAAATAAGGCCGCTAGTTACGTCATGCTCATGCACACGCTCCAACGAATTAACGTTAAGCCCTCCTTAAGAACAGCTTTCTGATGAGTGGCTATTCATTCATTTAAGGTGGCTGAAATCAAGTACTTGAGAAGGCTTGTGGAAAACTGTCAAATGTGTCGAGGTTAGAACACTTCATACTTAAGTAAATTGGAGGGTTTTGAGGTTTGGGTATAATCAGAATAGGAGCCTGAAGGTCGATTTTGCCTGAGCTTATCCCAGTTTCAGCAGAGAGGCATCCCTTCGACACGTTACCAGTCCATTGAGGGAAGATCCGTGTGTTTCGTCATTGATCCTGACTCTTAAGTGGTTAAATTGTTACTCCTGCGTAAAATGAGGCACTCTGACAGTTAGACGTCTCGTCCAAGAATACGAAGCAGTTATCCGGTCTTACACTCATAACTTTGGATCCGTATTCAACCGCAGTAATTACCAAGCCATCGCGGCTTCTGAACACTTTTTTTGCACCCTTCTTAATAGTTGAACACTGTACTCAAAATCTGATTCATCTCAGTAGGCAATTGCATGCAGCAGCCTTGGCAGAACGTTTTTGATAACCCGTTGGCTCATTTTTGTGTCTTGTGATTTCATTCCTTTATCGTCTTCATTTCCAATCTTTTACTTCTCATAGTCCAAGACTTCTGCCGTTTTAAACCATGTTTTCCTGGCGTACCTTGTTTCAACGATCCATCTACAGTTAAAGGATTTGAATGCGGAGAGTGCCCACTTGGAATGATTGGAGATGGTGTCAACTGTTCAGATGTTGATGAGGTAAATGTTGCAATTCATATGCTTAAAAAGAATGCTAGATTCTCATAGAAATATGTGGTTAAAGCTTAGCTTGTTTGCGGAATTTACTTCTGTTTTTGCGTACATGTATATTTCTGTTAACTGTGCGCTTGTTTCTTTCATCTAAGTGTCATGAAGAAGACCCTTGCGCCAAAGACGTTGGGGTGATCTGCCAGAATCGAAGTCCCGGATATTGGTGTCCTCCATGTCCTAAAGGTTACTCAGGCAGAGAGATTCATGGGATAGGGTTGTACTTCGCTAGGAACAACAAACAGGTATTGAAGGACCCAGCTTTTCCTGTGAAAAGCACTTTTATGTTGACGTAACTTCAATTATTGTAGAAAAGAGCCGTGAAAGTTGTTAATAAAAAAAATACAAAGCTTTGCGTATCTATTGCGCACATAGTGTGCATATGAAATATTGAAGTTCGCCAACAATTAATTCCATCTAAACTATGCATTTGATAGGGGTTAATGAACAAATCCTAATACATGTTTAACAAGCGTAATACAGGATTAACTGCAGTGACGATTTGTTGTCTTCCATAGATTTGCGTGGATATTGATGAATGCGCAGAGACTCCACGTAAATGTGCTGAACAGTCCAGGTGCAATAACAGCCCGGTGAGTAAATCTCCCAAGATCATGCCCGAATAGTAATAACCAACCAATTTTATTTGTTTATCCATTCCTTGATCAGTCTGTCAGTCATTCAGTCGGTCAGAAAGGGACCACTGAATAAAGCAGTTATGGTAAGCTAGTCGAGCGGCCAGGAAGCAATATGGAGGACTGGACTGTTTTAGTCGGTCTGTCTGCCTTTCTGACCTTCTGTGTCTCCATGATTGACCACCTTTTTAAAGTTGGTGAGTTTTGTTTCGGAAGGTCAAGCGATCGATGCTTCCTTTCTGGGGTCAATCGATCGATGCATCCATCGGTTAGACCATGCTGTCGCTCACTTCAGTCTGCATCTTACAGTACACATGCATCTGCACTGCATCTGCAGTACACATCTTAAAAATCATTGCCCCCTTTGCTTACTCCCAGAATTAGAAAAAAATTTTTCTAACCTTCTCTGAACTATCTTTGTTACAGGGATCATACGATTGTTCGCCTTGTCCTGAGGGATTTACCGGTGATCCAAGACACGCATGTTACCATCTGAGTTACTGCGATCCAAACGATCCCAGAAGCAATCCTTGCAATCAGCATGCAAAATGCATTCGACTTCAGAGCGGTCGAAACTACAAGTGCGAGGTACATTTTGTAAACTCTCAACTTTCAGCCTGAAATTGGACTCGCTAATTTAATTTTTTGAGTCATGGTCATTTCTTAAATTGAGCTTTCTCTGGTACTGACTTAGTTTAATTTTTTTTTGAAGTGTCGTCCTGGTTATGCGGGAGAAGGTCACTTGTGTGCAGAGGACGGTGATTTAGACGGTTTTCCAGATATTGAACTAAACTGCACAGAAAAGATATGTCGTAAGGTAAGAGAAAGTACCCTCTCCTGTCCTCGGTGCATCTATTTTCCCACGACTGCAACGAGTCTTTTTTAATGTAGAACTTCCCATGGGTGGAACATCAGTTGGATCAGACTGAACAGTTGACGAAAAATTAGCTAGAAATTGTTTCACGACCATTTTCTACGTGACATTTAAACATCTATTCGAATCGAATAGTCTTCGGGATTTGATCTAATAGATGTTGGTGAAACCAGGATATCAGCCAACTACTTACATTTCCTCTCGTTTGCGAAGCTGAATCTCTCATCTTATCTTCAAGGATGCATCCTGTTTCCAAATTGAACGTGACCGTATGGAACAAAGGCTGTCCAGTTTAGAATTCCGTTTCACTCTTGCAAGTCATATCTATTTCTCTGGTCCTTAATTACTTCGCTTATCTCTTTTAGGATAACTGTCCGCGAATACCAAATCTAGATCAGAAGGACCTCGATGAGGACGGAATAGGTGACGTATGTGACGAAGACCTGGACGGGGACAACGTTAACAACGATGTGGTAAGTATTACACCAGACAGGTGCACCATAAACAAAGCATGTCTTTTTTTCTAGCGTTTTGAGTGAGTTTCCCCGCTCAATGTTGATCTTGTTACAAAGCAAATGTATTAGATATTGGAAAAACCATCTTATTCTTGCTGTCCGAAAAATTTTGTTATCGATTCAGTAGAGGTTGCACTTTGCAAGAGTGTTGCGCATGTGATGTGTTTGTCATGATTCAATTACTTTAGACATCGTACCTATAACTTGGGTGTCGCTGAGGAAATTGCAAGTGCTAAAGACAATCTTACGCAATGACCACTAATTGCGAATTCCATCCTCGTTTTCTTCGTCAGGATAATTGTCCCCATCATTATAACGCAGGACAAAGCAACGTCGATGGCGATCCATTTGGCGACGAATGCGACAATTGTCCTTACGTCACCAACAAGTTCCAGGGCGATATTGACAAAGATGGAATAGGCGACGTATGCGACAAAGACGTGGATGGAGATGGTAAAATGATTTGTTCCTCTTTTGCAAATTTCAATACAGACTATTTTACTTTATAATTCTCTTTTTCCTTGCTCATTTTGATCAAATTGAAAACACGGGGTTAAGAAAGAACATGGGATTAAAAAGAAGAACGCGGGTTTAAAAAGAGTATGCGCACAACGGTTGCGATAAACCTTGGTGTCGTTAGAGACTTCCTGGTTGATGTCTATCAGTTGTTAACTTCATATCTCGTCCCTTCCAAATATCAAAACTGATCGAATTCCTGTCACTGCACAATTAAGCCACTTTCAGGTAGTCATTTTGCGGGAGAGTGCTACTAAGCTGGGCTATAGAAAGAAATAGAAAAGGTAATTGAAGTCACTCGTAAGAACTGTGCCGTTTTTTCCCTCGCCCGCTCATATATTAGTCTCTTTTTCCCGATAGTCTACCACAGGCTACCAGAATTTGAACAAGAAGACAGCTTTTCAACCAAATAGCCTCACTTGTCTATATCTCTTCACAGGCGTATTAAACTCCCAAGATAACTGTCCAGTTACCTACAATCCACAGCAAGAAGACAGAGATGGAGACACAGTTGGTGACAAGTGCGACAACTGCCCCTCGACAATGAACAGCAAACAGGTGACTAAGAGGAATTATACAATGAGCTAAATCACACGTGCCTTTTGATTAGTTCTTACTCAAGACAAGCGTTTCTTCTACCTTAAAAAGCCGGGCGAGCATTTTATTGACTGTCTACATGTTGATTTATTTATAGATTGACAGAGACAGCGATGGACTGGGAAATAACTGTGACTTGAACAGAGATGACGATAACGACGGCGTGGATGACATGATCGATAACTGCAGAGGAGTTACCAACCCAGACCAGATAGATAACGACCAAGATCAGCAAGGTTGGCAAAACACATTATTTTCCTAATGTTTTAATGATAACTAAGATGATAACAATAACAACAACTACAATAACGATGATTAAAAAAAAAATCGACAAAAGAAAAAGTACTCAACTTAATGTACGCATTGATATATTAAGCATCATCGTGTTTTTAGGAGACCTCAAGTAAATACAAAAAATACAATAAAAAATGAGAATAACCTTCGGTAACCTACAGCTTAGGGTAGGGCGACATGGAAGAAGAGGAAGGGGGGGAAAGGGGTGGACCAGGAAAGAACACGAAAGACTTTCCTGTCCCTGTGCTTTTCCCCACCGTCCTTCTCCTCCCTCTTCCCATCGTCGAACCACGAAGAAGAAATTTCGTACTTTATCCAACTTAACTTCCTATTCCATAAAAATCAGATTTACGATCATACCTTTAACGATGGAATACTGAACGCTGGCCAAAATACGCCGAGGAGTTAAGTTAAATGCCAAGCAAATCAGAGTTTTATTAGCTGCAGTGAGCCACAGTGCAGAAATTGTTGTAAAAAATCATTTCTTTTGTCTTCATCCAGGTGATGCCTGTGATGACGATGACGATGATGACGGAGTTCCGGATAGAATTGATAACTGTCAACTGGTACCCAATCCTACTCAGCGAGATTTGAATGGTAAGTAAACCTATGCTGTCCTTTAAGAGCAAGTGACGCTGTGTTTAATCAGCATTTTGACTTTTACATCGATCTGTAGTAAAATTGTCAACCAACGATTTCTGCTCATTTCAGGAAACGGTCTCGGAGACCCCTGTGATGGCGATTTCGATGGCGATAAGATCCCGGATTATGAGGATGCGTGCTCGATTAATCATCATGTGACCCACACAGACTTTACCAACCTGATAAAAATTGATCTTAGTCCAACTGAACGCCAAAGCAGGCCACCCATCTGGGCGGTGGATGGGACGGTGAGAAGATGCCTTATTTTGATGGAAAATTAAATGTTACATGGTTCAGTCGTTTTACCAACCCGTAGGCCAACTCCGCTAGTGTATATCCGGTTACAGGAGCCATCCCACAACTAGGAATCTAGCTAATCCTCTCAAATAGGATTCCAGTCCATCGTAGAATTACTCCTCGGCTTTTGTTAAGTTCCCCGACCAGTAAGCCGTTACCTGCACATTAGCACATTAGCATTTGCCACTTATCCATCTCCTCTCCCACTCAGTTTTTTGTGGGTGTGGATAAGGTATAAGGACCATTCAAGGAGAGCTCTCGGCGCTCTTCTTTAAATAAGGACCTTACCTCTTTTAACCCATTGTAAGTTCTACCGTTTGTTGTCCTTGCTTCGAAGGTTTCCCTTCGCGGTCTCTTTTTTTCAGTCCTTTACAAAGACCAACACTCCAAATTCCAATTTTGACCTAGAAATCTGTGGACAGAGAGCTACCTTGAGGAGCTGCCACTGCTGAATTACAATGTATCATGTTACAAGTAGATGATGACTTAAAGTTTCTGATTGCTATGTTTTTAGGGCACTAAAGTATCAGAAGAAGAGAACAGTGATCCGGGGATTGCTGTCGGTAAGTGTCAAAGATTCCCTCTGTAGCAGCCTCAGTTAGGGAAGTTGCGCAGTGCTTGGTATGTCATTGGTGACAACGGAGGATAGCAAAGAGACCAGAATAAAATTTGTGTGTTTGACCTAGAGCAAAGTACGGCCTGCTGTAAGATGGCCAACTTTGGTGCAACCCTCTATCTCGAGTATGTTTCCCAGAAGCAGACATAATACTCTTCACAGATAACCCACAACAACAGTCAACCAAGAAAACTTGTCAAGTGTAAGACTACCTTTGACTCGCATCTACTCGGTTGACGAAGTGGAGGCATTTACCTACCGTACATTAGTCATATGAAGCAATGTTGGTTTCAAACCAAAGTATTTATTTAAAATGTTTGATCCTATGACTTGAATGAAAATAACTAATTTTTGACTCTCTTACAACTTTAGGGAATGTTCGGTTTAACGGTGTGGATTTCAACGGAACACTTCGAGTTTCAACAAAACACGATGACGATTTCGTGGGATTAGTGTTCAGTTACCAAAACAACCGACAGTTCTACGTCATATCATGGAAACAGGAAGATCAAGTGTACTGGGATGTGCAACCGTTTAGGGCAAAAGCAGTAAAAGGAATACAAATTAAGGTAATTCATACTCGAGTAAACATTTTATAATTTTAAGATGAGTAAAGTTCAGCGTATCAATTGCGGATTCACCATACTTTCCTTAGCCAGTTTCGAAGTTTCACTGATTGCCGGTAACGAAAACTCGTGACGCACATGGGCAGCTCTCAGGTTTGCTGGGGCCTGGTCCCTCTTCCCCACCTGCCCCCTCCACAACACAAGTAATTTTCTTCACTGCGTAACATGGGAACTTGAAGAAATTTTGTCCGTTTTCTTATTTGTTTCTTTGATTCTTTATCTTGCAGCTTATTGATTCTAAAACTGGTCCTGGATTTGCTCTCAGAAATGCACTGTGGCATTCTGGTGACGTAGATGGAGAAGTAAGTAAAAACTTAGAAATGACAACTCCTTTGGCCTCTTGGTATTAGCCCACCCCTTTGGGAAACTTAAGCCTGGTTACCAAGCTTTGATTTTAGCGCCAGTTATGCATTTTTCTAGCTCAGTAACCACGTGAACTACGAGGGTGAACTTTCCAGTTCCGTTCCGGAAAGAGCCGAGGAACTCGTATTTCATCTCCATCATTACGAAAATCGTACCCTTACATTTTTCCGAGAAAAAAACGTATACTATTGCAACTAAGATCACACTTCAAATTCCTTTTGGATGTACCTCAAACAAACAAAAAAATACATATAATTTAAAATTGGTCTCAGAAACCAAGGCATTAGAACTGCATCAGTGTACGTGGAACAAACTAATCTGGATGCCATATCTCCTTAGAGTAAAGAAATTTGGCGAGACAGCAAGGAAAGAGCATGGAAGGACGAAACAGATCATGAATTTAGGCTGATGCACAGACCGTCCATTGGACTAATAAAGTAAGTCTAAACAACTATAGTTCACTTATCTAAAGAAGAAAAGATACTATGTCGGAAAAGTTAGGAAAGGTGAATTCTGTTCGATCTTCACCACTCGTCGTGAATTCTCCAAGCGACCTTAATGTAACCAAAATGCTTGAAAATGACCGTGAAACAACAGTGTGTGGTCTATTTTTTAATTTACTGTAACCGTTATTTTTTTAGACTGGTCGTTTATGTTGAAGGCGAGATACTAGTGGATACCGGATATATAATTGACAAGACTCTCAAAGGCGGCAAAGTCGGGATGTATGTGTTTTCACAAGGGCAAGTGCTGTGGAAAAATCTTTCATACAGATGTAGTGGTAAGTGTCGATGTAAATGCCTTGGTACCCACGCACGCACGCACCTTAGATTTCACAGCGTTGCAAACGTATCTGCCAAGGCTGTAAACTCGATAGTTCCATTTACCTAGTCGAGCAAGCTACATAAAACTGCAAAGCTTTCTCTAGCTGCTTTCTCCGCATTACTGACAAGAAACTTTCCATTTCTCTATAGAAACTATCCCAGAAGATTACCAGGCTCTTTGATCAACCTAGAGGTCGACACTGAGATGTATCGCTTTATGATGGAGCAATAATAACATGACTAAAGAGCTTCGGGTCCCAATGTGCCACCAAGGGATTATTTGTCAATTTACCTCTTTCCACGCTGGCTGGTGGGAAGTTCCTTTCACAAGTCATGGAGGCGTAGTCTGAGATACAATGTCGTAAAGATAACGCATGCTTTTCTTGTTCAACACAAGATTTAAATGCCGCAAGTGCGACACAAAAGTGTATACTCAAGAACCCAGAAATAGATGTTTATGAATGTTGTGTCCTTTGCAGCATTTTGCATTTTATAGAGAAGATTCTGAGTTAAGTAATTAATGATATTAAGAGAGATGACATTTCTTAACAAACATCATCCCAAATAAACAGGGTGAAGGTCAGTTATCGATGCTTCTAGTCATAGATAGCGCGAAATAAAATGGAGTCGCCGATGGCAGTTTATAAAACTCTACAGCTCAAAAATCTAGACCGTGAACGAGGAATTTCTCTCAAACCTAACCTGAATTTACAGAAGTACGTCTTATAACTGCCGTAATGCATCCTGGGATATTTAATGGGTAAGTCTTAGGTTACCACAATATTAATTCTGAGGGCGAAATTCTCGTTCGTAGCCTTGCGCCAGGACCTCGCGGTGATAGTGACATTATGAATGATCTTGTTAGGAAATTTTTTTTTTCGGAATTGTATATATAGTCTGTAAATGTACGCAAACGAACAATTAAATATCTCATTTAATACTGCGTTCTAAGCAGTGCAAAGAGAAAAAAACTGAGTGTACTCAACTACGTAAATTATGCCACTGAAAAAATGCGGTAAAATTGTAAAACGACTTAGCTGTGAATCAGACGAACGTGGACCGGTTCGCTATATTGGGCCTCAAGAGAAATTAACAGATAGAATTGAAGAATAATCCGCTAGTACTTTTGGTTGTCAAATACGGAATAGCTACTAAAAGTAGGTATTACATCTATAATTATTGGTTCCTTATTGTTCGTAAGGTTTTCAATCAGGTCCACGGAATTTAATTTTAGTTTTCTCAATACTGGTCGATACATGCTGTCTGAAATTACAATAACACAACGATAAAGGTCTTCCAAACGGGTTGGGACCTTAATTCGAGAAACGCCGGGGACTCCAATATTTGTCAAAGGAATTAAGCAAGGAATTTGACGATTATGGCAATTATGCATGAGTAAACTAATAAAACTGCGGCCTTCGAGTTCCGATTTCCGTATGAATTCTTGAGACCATTATTTACCAAATAACGGTTCTGGCCTCCAGCGATCAAATAAGTCTTTTTCAAATCAAGCTCAAGAGGACGACACTGCAAGAATTGATCTGACAATCAAGAAACATCGAACTTCACAAGTACAGAGTTAACGCGTTTCTTTTGCGTAGCTGTTCCGTGTAATACATCAACATAATTCTCTTCGTTATCGGAGATTTATTCAGTAAGGTCGTAAGACCGCTCACTTTTTACATTCATGTAAATCCACAGATTATATTACAGTTTTTAGCAAGATTTCCGCACAGCTCCCTACTTCATTATGTATACAGTTCTAGGATTAACCGATTGACATTGAGGCTTTGTTTTCAAAAGTATGGGGTTCTACGGAAATCTTTAACAGTTAACTGCTCAAATATAGTTCTTAAGTAAAATTGTTGTTTTGTTTGTACCATTTCTGCCGCAGCTGTTGTGAACTTTGGTCGACAGTGTGCACCAAGGGAATGCCAGGTCGTTACAGCGATTTTGACCGGCTTTTTGATAGGCTGATGGTTCCCTGAGGATATCATTCACCAATGGTAAATCGTTCTAATCATCCGGAAAGGGAAGGAAAAATCTTTGCACCCAATTCTTTTGCTTAGTTCTCTAAAAAATGTCTGAGTGTAAAGACGATCCACAAATACTATTTTTCGAGTTGAAGCAAATAGCAAGTGGCCGCGTTCAGTGCAATATATATCGCTACCTTCCAACCATCCTCTCGCTGACAATCAACTCAGCTCTACCACGCGTGGGGCCATTCATCTTTATCACTACTTGCTGAGGTATCTTGGACGATTTGCTTTCAACTTGAGACCCCAGTGTCTTCTGTAACAATGGGGGACACGTCGGCACCCTTAACGTGCACTGTATGCATAACTAAATTCACGCACATGTGTACAGGAAACAACACATAAATGGGATACCAGGAAGCTACTTGAACTATACGACAATTAGTAGATGCACGTACGCAAAAATAGACTGAATAGTCAAACTGACCTTTTGGAGAAGTAAGTCAGCAGGTAGTTGACTTACAACTTAAGAGCAGAAAAAGGAAGCAAATTCAAATGCAATTGTACTGTGTCTGCTGCATTTGAGCTCACAGCAGAATCTGGTTACATGTACAAAGATACTACATCGACTCTTAAAATCCATACTTTGACTGAGTTTGTCTGCGAGTTTGTCGATTAGCCGACCACTGTTGGCGTAATTCCAGCTCTCTCTCTTTAGCCTACAAAAGGAACAAAATTCAGATACAACTCGAAAAAATTATTTGGTTTAGAATCGTACGCAAAGAACGGAGAATACAATCATACTGGCAGTTAGTTTTAATAATGCATTTTACTGATCTAAAAGTGACATGGACAACGAACGTTTTAGCCCTTCCGTCATGTTGCAAAAACTCACATAAGACAGTGAAAACCACCAATCGTGCTTACATCCGCGCTCACTTGATGTACAGTGTCCTTGAATTCTATGGATATCTTTAACATTTACATTCTATACTTTATCCACTTCAGTAAACAGTTGCACGTATATTTAAATACCCATAACAATTGATGAGCCAAACTAACACGCCGGGAGATGGATATAAAGTGATTCCCGTTTGTCTGAGAGACAGAGTCTGATAAGTGTGATGTGAAACCCGCGCAGGCGCCAGTCCTCCCATCAAAACTTACCTGATAAGCCAAATAAGTGATCTGATGTTTTCTTCTTTGTTGAGCTGTTGGCATGTCTTTCTTTTTCTGTATATAAAAGCAAAAAGAGACACGAGTGAATGAACAGCGAACGTTTCCTCTTCAGCTAACATGAGCACATTACACCGTTCAAGTTTTGATCAGCGCCACAGGCAAAGGAAAAACAAGTTCCGATTGCTCCTCCCAAGAAGAGTCCAATCTAGGATTTCGAAAATCCTTCAGCAATCATAAACAATTGCTTTAGGCTGTATCAGCATTTCTTCGCCCGCGAGTAAGTTTGGGGCCGGGAGCAAAGCGAGCCAGCGAGAGGTCTGCAAGGGATCTGGAACTAAGTACCAGACCACTTGCAGAACTCTTGAAGGATTTTATTGCTCAAGGACTAAAATTTATGGGCGGGTGGAAAGAGCAAATAATAAGGGCCTCCTCGCAGGATAGCACTGCTCAACCCTTAAATTCCCATAAGTGACCAAAATAGAATTTCTCCTTGCAATTGCGATACAGTTTCGAGTAGATTAGTGATAAGAATAAAGAATACTATCAATTAGGGGATTAGTAGTTAATCCAACACCAAATTCTCCGTATTAACATCACGAGGATTGTATGGAAAACAGTAAGGAGAATTACCACTGAGATCTTGGGAGTGAGATCTTGGGAGTGAGATCTTGGGAGTGAGATCTTGGGAGTGAGATCTTGGGAGTGAGATCTTGGGAGTGAGATCTTGGGAGTGAGATCTTGGGAGTGAGATCTTGGGAGTGAGATCTTGGGAGTGAGATCTTGGGAGTGAGATCTTGGGAGTGAGATCTTGTGAGTGAGATCTTGGGAGTGAGATCTTGGGAGTGAAAGGGTTAAGCCTTAACCACAAAGTCGATCGGAAGACCGAGGAATACGGACTGTGACCTATGAATTACACACAACGGAATATTGGTTTGTTTGTTTGGTTCTTTTTTATAATAGCATTAAGTATTCAAGATATAAATTCCGTGTTAAAAGGAAGAAAAAATTGTAACATCCTTTACCCGAGAAGGTGCATACGCAATTTCTTCGGTTCCGTATTTCGTCAACATCTCAGCTGAGTTCCCTATTTGATCGTCAGCATTAATATCAACTATGTTGATTTCTTCGCCACGATTTCTTCTTCCTTTGAGTTTCTTCATCTGAAAACATTACATGCAACCATCAGGAAACTATTTAATTTATCCTTTTTGGAGCTACAAGTCGGTTTGTGCATGTTGAAAGATTGGAGACAATTCCCAGGGTATACAGTATGAGCAAAATTTTGTCACATATATATTGTGGCTAATACATCTCAAAAACTGTTGAGTGTTACACCAATTGTTATGTGTTGAAATACGCTTAGATTTAACAGATACACCTGGCATCTACATGTTTACGGCTTGAATAGAAGTTACAAAGGCTAACAATTTGGGAATACCAACAATTATTGTTTGGGGGCCACCCTACACGACATTACTTCTGTTCAACAGTTCCATCAGAAATAAGAACATTAAGTACAAAGTGCACCAAGGACCCTTTGCAATGTACCTTCTCTAGATCGAATTGTGTTTGGTCAGCCTGACTGCCTTGACCCTGGACAACACCTGTAGCACTTGTAGGGTACATATGGGTGTAGCTTTCAGTCTCTTGATTATAATAAGGGTGACTGGCAGAAGAGCTTGCATTATAGTTATAATTTGCCTGAGGAAAAAGGAGAAAACAATCAGGAAAAAAAAAAAACAGAGATAGAGAGAGAGTGGGAGATAAAAAAAAAACAGCATTCATTTAACAATCCCATGATAACAACATGACTATACAGCCAGGCATATGTATCTCTATCTTCCAACTGGAACCACAATTGGATGTCAACAGGAAAGCCACACAGACACTTTTTACATGTGGTAAATGGTGTCTATATCACAGCGAAATTTAAACTTTAGGTTAAAAAAAAAGAAATTATCATAGCTTGGGTTTAATCTTAGTTCTCTTAATTTTACAGCCTCAATTATGAATCATTTGGAATAGGGGATGCTGAAAGTTAAAAAAAGCAGATGGAAATATTTTACCACATATATACATGCAATTTCAATTACAACATGCACTTGTTTGCATTTATATTGGTATTTATACTCACATAATAGCTATTATCAACAGCAGAATATCCTCCATATTCCTGGCTTTGCTCACTTTGTTGATCATAATAGTAAGTCTTAGTTTCCAGCTCCTTCTGAGAAGAGATTTCCTCACTTGAGAAAGCAGCCTGAGCACTTGTGTCATCTACAACAGGATGTGTTGCTTCATCCACATGCTTTGCACTGCTTTGAGACATGTTAGTATTTGATGGTATCTGATCTTGTGACAATGATAATGAACGAGGATTTGGCCTTTCTATTGCTGCAACATTGAAACTTGTCATTGACTCAGTATCCTCACTCTGAAGAGTTTGTACTTTTTCGTCAGATTTGATCTCAATTTTGTCATTGAATGTAAAAAAGCTTACAGGCTCATCTTCATCTTCACTGACAGTTTCTTCATCTTGTCTCTTCTTAACCATTTTTTCTGTTTTCTTCTCCTGTCCTGGGGTTGGTTTCTTTGTCAACGTGTGGGGTATCAATGGCCTGCTTGTTAATTTAACAGCAGGTTTGTTTGGGTTGTCTGCCCTCCGTGTGATACTGTGCTTGGGTTTGGGAAGAAGTGCTTTGAGTCCTGATCCTTCCTTAAAATGATGAACATCAGTTCCTTTAACTCCCATAAGTGACTGAGACAGAATTTCTTCTTACAATATCAATACAATATCAAGCAGAAAAGTGATGAGAATATAGAAAAATATCAATTAGGGGATTATAAGTTGATCCAATACCAAATTCTCCAAACTGATATGACAAGAACTGTATGGAAAACAGAAAGGAGAATTACTAATGAGATCTTAGGATTTAAAGGGTTACAAAAAAAAGAAATAAACCAGTTCAAATACTCTGTCAAAAGTTAGCATGCAGCATATAATACATTGCTCAAGGTAAAAAACATTAATCCACTCCCCCCTGCAATTGAGTTATAAAGTGAAAATAAGATTAAATATAAATGAATAAACCAGTAGTAATAAAAGTTTGATCAAATAGAAAAAATATAAATACACTCCCACCTGCCATCTCCTAGGCATGCGTCTAATGCTATGTTTACAGCAAACCTTTTCATAAGCATATAAACTTTTTACCACAAATCAATATAAATTGACACCTTATGCATACATTACCTTTGATGGTCCAAGTTTCTTTGCTGCTGGCGTATCATCTTCATCATCAGAATCAGTCTGAAAGAAAATGTTTATCAAAAATTTGTCAGATTTGCTGATCAGCATCACACCTTTGTGGCTTTTTGTTTTCACTTATAATTAATATCAATGATGATTTTGTCCCTTTCAAAAGCAGACTCCTTATCATGTGTCTGCTGAATCAAAATTGTGAGATGTCCACCAAATATGTGAATCATGAGGAGATGTTAAAATATTTTTATGACAGGGAACATCCATACAGTGCTCCAACTTTAGACATGTATCACAATTACACTCTTGTCATACACTCTACAAGTCTACACATAAGTGTGTCTGAGAGTGCATCATACTAAGGGGAATTAACTTGTATCACTAAAGTTTACCCAGTAGTGTCTTATTTGGTTCCTCTGACAACTTTTTGGCAAATACGTGTATTTCAATTCTTCTAGTTGGAGATACGCACAGTAAGAGTCGAGCATCTTAACCAGGAACATGATAAAATGACTAGACCTCATCTTCAGTCCTGAACTTTTGAGCAGTAGTCCAGTGCACTAAGCATTAAGGAGACCAAATTTTCAACAGGTATATATAATGGTGATAGTGGAGTCCAACTTGGTCATATGAATGACAAACAAAAAAAGATGGCCATGAAGTGGGAGTCTGATTTGTCAGTCACATGTATGATTAAAAACAGAATTGGACAACATGAAGTCCTCTTACCAATTAATCAAAACTGTTACAATTTCTGGAAAAAGAAAAATATAGAACAAACATCTCTGGTAGAGATAATGTCTTAGGTAAAAGATTCTTCCACTTTGGAAATTCCCATTTTTCTTTTTTTAAGGGATACATGGTTGATGTTGTTACTGTCTGATTATAACTGTACTGAACGATAAGTGAAAAATAAAGGAGCTATTGTACCAATTACATGTGAGGAAATTGTAATGGTTATGATTAGTATATTAATGTGATATGTTGCAGCTTTAACATTTCTTTGCCAGCTTGCTTATTATTCTCCCTTATCTTAAGCACAACTGGTGAAAGAAATATTCAAACTGGTGGAGCAACCCTTTTACTTATTAAATTTTCAATAATTCCAAGTGATTTAAGGCATACTTCAAGTGGAAAATTTTACTGGTTACTGCCTGAAAAGGAAAACACTGCAAGCTACAGTGCAACCCTACTTTAGGCAATGCAATGATTAATGCAAGCTGCAATGGATGATCAGTGTTCTCAGAAGTATTTTCACAAGACTGCCGTTGAAAAAACTAGCCTGCTAAGGTTAATGTGCATATCAGATCAAGACAGGTATCAAACTGTTTCCTCTAATAAAAGTAGCTGACACTTTGGAAACCTGCAGTAGGCCAAAAGGTTCCTTGTTATTCCAGAGAATACTGCTGGATGTTTATTGTAATTACCTTAGGTGCAGTGGGGATAGAAATTTTGACTGGTTGCTTTAATTTTCTATCCTCAGCCACAGACGCTTTACCATCCTTCTTTTTCCTTTGCCAGGTGCTGTCTGCTTTCCAGGGTGCGGGTAAAAGAGAGAAAAGGCTGCCTACAGACTTCGGCTTCTCATCACCATCAACATTGTCAACCTTCTTCGCTCTTTTTGCAATTGGCTCATACTCTTCTACAATTTCCAAAATCTCCTCATCATCCGCCATCCCTTCCAAGGTAATAGGAAGGTTCTTGTTATCAGAGGAACCGTGGTTGTCGACAGCTTCTCTTTCGAGGTTGCTCACATTTTTAGGCTTTGGTAGAAATGAAGATAATCCGGTTTTCCCACTTAAACTGGTAGAAGAATTCGATGTATTCTTCTCTTGCGTCGATTTAGGAAGAACCAAACCCTTTCCTCTACCGGGATCACTTTTTTCGGAGATGAGAGAGGGATGTTTAACATCATCTAGATTGCTTTGTAGTTCTTGATCGCTCTCTTCATCTCCGCTGCTCCCGTAGGCGACGAGCGACATTTTCGCCAACTCTGTACCCGTTCCAAGAATTCACAAACCCTAATTGCAAAGGAAAGGAGTTCTTAGAGATGTTTTTAGTAGACTTTTACATCGATCAGCGACTGAGCCGTGTGATCAGGGAGAATATTCAAGCGTCAGAAAATTTTACTGTCTTTGTCGCAAGTTCCGCCATATTTGTTAGACCTAGAATCCAGTCTCTTGCGGATGTTTACTCAAAATGACATTTGGGTGGAATGTACCCCAGCATCCACTTCTGTCAATGTGGTAATTTTTCGAAGGCACGAAACTAGATTTGTCTTTTAAACCTTTTTGATTTTCTGATACCTGAACATTATTTTGTTGACTCTCTGAGCTTTTAAGAAATCAAACGAAGGGCGAAGGTGAAGGGAACGACTAGATGATGCCGTAGATGGGTGGTTCAAAAGGAAGAGACGGAGGCACCATCAGTGTCAAAATTTTGTTTCCCGCAGCCCACCATTTTCATTAAAGGAAAAATGCCAGGAGACGAAAACAAACAAACAAACAAACACGAATACATGTTTTAAAAAGTTAGCTTGTTGGAAAATCCTGTCTGGGTGTTTTCACTTCATGGTTAAAGAAAATTATTCTCTTGAAAAACATTCGGTTAGGAGCAGTGTCTTAGGATGGACGAAAAGAGAGGTGAGGGTCGGGGGTGGGGTGGGGGTGGGATGACGCTGTTCCATATTTGAAAAGGTTATGATTTCAGCGACTGAGCAGCTGCAGCCGGGGAAAATTGCGAGGAGCTCGAATTTTGGTGTCCTTGACCAAGAATTTTGGCTCCCTTTGATGATGAAGTTGCTGGAACACTAGACGTGGATGAGAAAGACCGATTTGGCCCCAACTACCTGGCACAGACCGCGTATCCTATTGCTTTTTTATGGCGAATAAACCATCAAGTTTCTGTTCTAACGAGATTTGCCGAGATTGCCCATTTAAAGCTGTTTGTTGAGGAAGGTTTTGGCTCAAAGCTCTGTTGAAGGATCACTCTTTGTAAAATTTCGATATTAAAATCATGACTGGAAAGACTGATCAAATAACATCAAGAAAAGAGCTTTGAGAACGATATTTCCATCGGCCGGTAGCTGTATTTATCGAGATTTTTGAGACGAATCGCCAACGAACAGAGATTCATGAAAACTAGCTTCAATTTGAAATTTAAGTTTGCAAGATTTTATTACTTGTATAAACTCAAATCATATCTGTGTTTTAAATAGGTTGGGCTTGTTTACCTTAAACTAAAGAGAAAAATTGTGCAAAGCTGAAGAACTATGCTATTATTGCATTCATACCCTGAGCTGGTACCAAGCAGGTCATTCATTGTCTGTCGTCCCAGCAAGCCCTTCGGTTCTGCATAATTTATGCTTCGTCCATGTTTTTAATCTGAGCCAGCCCTTTCTTAAACCACAACTAATGGCGGGGCTATTCGTTGAATTACGAGCCAAATGAAGCGCTCAGGATCACTCAAGCTTGTTATAAAAGGCATCTTAGGTGAGTCAGAGATTTGATAATATCTGAGAGCTATTGAGAGAAACAATTTACACCACATTTCAATCACTGTTAGTTCACGTTGAGGTCAATTGCGATCTTGCTTCGTCAATGGGTCTTTGTGTATCTTCAGAAATATATATTTTCCCTTCTAAATCGTTATTGTTCCTTCCACAAGTTACAATTTTTCAAATATTCTTTCTGCTATGACAGTGTTTGCCAAAATGAGAAAGCATTTGCGGGCATACAGTACAATCAAATTAGGTTCCTTTATTGCAAAGCGACGAACGCGTGTACATTCGTCTCAGTTTCGTGTTCGCCGCTGGCTTCCCAAAAATGGAGGAAAAAAAAATAAATGTAAAATGAGATACACGATTTTTGCTAAATAGTTCGTCAACTAGCTTTACCATCAAACCATTTCGTTAAGTAAAAAATCTGACTTAAACTAGAGTGTACTATACGCCCGCCTCCATACATGCCACTTAATCAAAATTTGTCCTTTTTATTGAAAAATCCGTCTTCAACCTCAACATTTCAAAATTGTGCTATCTGAAAGAAGTAGATTCGTTTCAATTGCGTAATATATACTATTGAAAAGAAAAAGAAGTTAGAATTTGCATAAAAGCTTGTCGGTGTTTGCAAGCAGGAAAGTCTAATAGCCGATACCTTAGCAACAGGAATCTCCTTAAAAAATTTGGGGAGAAAACGTATCATTACTTTCATGAATTTTAACTGCAATGAGCAAATATTGTTTTTTTTAAGAAATACAAAAGCCTGAATCATGTATACATGAAAAAAAAGAGCGTTTGTATACATGATGGATGCACACAGTAACAATGAAGACTTGAATGAAAGTGATCCTTGCAGTAATGTGCACTACTTAGGCAGTGGTGAAAATAAGGCCTGAATTTTTTTCAGGCCTTATTTTCACCATTGCCTAAGTAGTGCACATTACTGCGAGGATCACTTTCATTCACGTCTTTATCTACAGTTCAAATATATGACTTTCATATATTCTCAACCAATGAAGACTTGGTAGACAAACAGCGCACGATAACTTGTACAAGCTACCGCCCGTAATAGAACGAAAAACAAAATTTTCCATATGGGAAAAAATTTTTATTTTGTGAGATTGTAATCAACAAACGTTTTAAGAGAATTTTTTTTAGCTTTGATACAGTATAAAAAGGACGCACACATGTCACAGTTCTAAAGCGGTATCTGACAAAATGATCTTAGTTTTATTCACATATGCAAGTTTTAAGGTGGTTCGAGATCGCCCTATATTGATGGCAGAAATTCAGTTTGAAATTGAATGTGTTAATGTAGAAAGCCTAATTAATCACTCTAATTCAAATAAAACATTGTTGAAAGGAACAAGAACTTGACAATAAAGCATTGTTTTTGACGAAATTCGTAATTTTACTTTAAAAATGTCATTTGAGGAAATTGTATGTGAATTTGTATTTATCACCCTTGACGTGTTAGTAACTTGAATGTGTGATAACAATGCCTATTTATTTCGTCATAAATTTATAAATGTACGAGGGAGTGCTGTTGTCAAAGGTGAGTTGGAAACCATAGAAAGTTGCAGTAAGGTTTATCTAAATGTTGATAGAAGGAGAGAGAGATTTTTTTATGAGAATTTTGCATTGCATTATGACTTCTGAGCGAAAAGAGTCATGCTTTCTTCTTACCGAACGAATCTTTGAGACTTCTAGAGTGCTGGTTTTTTCACTTTAACGTGTCGCCACAAAAGCCTTTGTTTCACGCATTGCTTTTAAAACTGATTTCACTGATTATTCTTCCCCAATCGATGAGATATCAGATGTTGAATTGTCTAACTCTAAATATAAACTTGAAATTAAATTTATGTGAAAGAGAAAAGGTATTCATCTCTGGTTCTATTTATAGATGTTTTTCCAATGAAAATCTGCATCTGACACAAGTCGTACTAAAATGTATTTACTAAGTTTTGCTTGGTTCGCAAGGCATGGTTTTTGACCTTATGTAAGACTGAACACAAACACGGTTATGAAAAAGTTAGATTTAATTAGGCAATGTCTGTGGCTGATTTTGAGATATTTTTCTTGAATTTTATACCTTGAAAAGCATGATTAAGGTTTCCTGAATATTTTAAAAAATGTTTAAATGCATCTTTTCTTTCTCTAGAAATGGAGTAAAAAAAAAAGGACAACGAGGCACATGACACAAAAGCACCAATGCTTCATTCTTAAGAGGGATGTCCCGTCAACCTTCACCTTCCCATGAGCAGGATTCAAGTCAAAAAGCCATGATTGCCCATCAAGACAATTTAACAGACGCTCTTAATTCGCTGGGCCTCACTAAAGGTGCCACGAACCTATCTCCAGAGGCAAAGAGACACCATGAAAATGTTGCTCTTTACATGTTCATCGGCCTTGTGTCCGCTTTCTTGTTCATCGCGACGATCATCATCACAGTTGAACTGTACCGGAGTGGACGATGCGCGAAAAGTTTAAAACGAAAGGGTGATAAGGGAAGAACTAGGCTTGAAAATGAAGATGATGACGATGAGGGTGATTATTCGGAAATAGAGATGAACGACTTATAGTGATAAATGTATATGGATCCAAAGTGGGTTTCCTGCGGAAGGAAGTAATTCAGGTGTGATAACGGGAATGCGATCGATGTAATGGGTACGGGGCCGTGCGGTGACCAATTTGTTGCAAGGTTTTGCAAAGTGGACTGACGGTGAAGGTGTTTATTCGGAAATCTAGATGATTGACTTGTTGTGACAAATGTATAGAACCAGCATAAGTATCAATGCTTTGCTTTACGATCAGTGCAACGAGTGAGAGTCTCTGTAGCAGGCCAGCTGAAGCTCCTCAATGCAATGTTTTGCCCAGTGACCTGGGAGCAAATATGAAATATAAAATGTCGATCTTCAAACCAAATACTGATCTGTACACTTTCAGTCTTTTCCTTCTCGTTGCCTTCATCGTTTCAATAAGGGCCCCGTTAAACAAAGTAGTGTTTGTACCAAATCAGCATCAACATTTGAAAGCAAAGATGTCATCGATCACATTGAAAACAGGGAATGCTTGAAAAGGCCTCTTGTTTGGAAAAAGTGTATCTTCGATGGCCTGATTAGTTCCCGCACATGCGTAAAGCAATGCCTTTCAACTAAGGCAGCCAAGGCAAAGAATCGTATCGTGATCCAAACTTAAAACAAATATTTTTAATTCCTAAGTAAACTAAGGCTTCAGGATGTGAGTATTACACTCTGGCGCCGATGTTAGGCAATACAGGAAAACTAAAGAGGTCTGGGTCATTTTTGGAGAGCCAATTTTCTAAATATTTTGCTAGCGACGCAAAGCTGACCTGGCAGACAGATAAAACAAAACGAATTAGTACGAGTACGTCTAATACAAAACTGTTTTCATTGTAGTATCAGCGTAAGCTAACGAAAGGCCCCCCTTGTCAAATCAACAAAACGTAGAAATTAAATCGTTGTACTGTAATAGCTTTGCACGCGCCATAAATAGATCCCTCTCAGAGAAGAATAGTCTGGTAGTCTAATTTTATTTTTGGAACGAGTCAAACTGGCGGTTCTCAGCAGTTGTTTTCCGGTGATTGAATTGATACGGTGATCAGATTAATTCAATCAGTTCGATATAAACAGCATTCAGAATGCAATATCCCCTCGTATTGGTAGTTTCAGTGGGATTGTAATATACATCTGCGTACTTCCAACATCAGCCGCCTTGCCTGCGTCGAACGTGCAGGTTCAAGAGAAGGGGTCACTAAGAGTCTGCTGATAATCTCTGTTATAGACTTGTCACAGATCTAGAGCATTGATCAACAACTCTCAAAGAATGGTTTTTGGCCGACGATTCAAATAAAGACAGGACCGCACAGACGTCGAACGTTCTCAACAAGATATTGACCATAAAAACGATCTATTTACATTCAGGAAATTATATTGTTACATTTTTTAAAGGAGTGCATGTTTTGATATAATAAACAATTGTCCGTTTATGGACAGTGTAGCTTATCAAGGATGTTCGTTCCCGTTTTGTTTCAGTTTAAACGTTAACATTTACTAATTATCGAATATTTTTCTGGAGAAAATTATGGTTAACTATGTTTTATAATATGTTTTTTCCTGTTAATATCAGAGCCTCTCTAAATACAGTCGATATCTAGTGATAACTATCGTATCTGAGAAATTAGAGGTGTTGCCTTTTTTTAGAGCCAAATTCTATAATCAAGTTCCTCAAGTGTCTACAAAGAACACTTTCTATGTCCTTCGTGACTGAAGAGTTATTAGCTAATGGCAGATAAAGCTCTTGCAAATTAGCATGCATATCTGATATCGGTAATACCTTCCAAGCGGTCATGAAATATCTGGGTGTTGTCGGTGTAGTTGGTTTGCTTCTACGGCGCACAAAATTTAAGAAAGCTCCAACAAATCCCCAAAATTTCAAGGCGATGTGCTGGCTGCTTATTGAGCATATTCCAATTGAGTGTTTAATTAAAGAAATACAATTGCTGGGTCGAGTAACCCAGTGTGCCATCCTCTCAACCAATCAGTTAAGAGGAACTTTCAATCGAGTTTCGAAAGTTATGCGAGATTGCGTTGGTCTTACTTTACATCACTTTGTGATTGGATAAGAGAACTCACGCATCCTCGCAACCAATCAAATGCGAAACTAAAACCAATTGCGATTTAATCGCCGGCGTTTTCCCGCGCTTCAAGCCGTTACTTGCTTTTATTTTAGCTTATCGTTGGGTTCTTTTGATATGTTTCTTCTTCTGTTTGGGTGTTGTGATTATAATGGTTTTGGTTTACGACACTCGGTCGAAATGAGCTGTAAACATAAAGCCAATCGCGACTTGAGCTTGGTTGCTCGCCCTTGTACACATCAGGTTGGTTTTGATTTCTATTTTATCTCTATCGGCTCTGATTGTGGCGTCTTGACCCCATTCACACTAAAACTTAAAAATGTTTAAAAGTTGTTTTGTTGAACACAGTTTAATTTTTTTTCTTCGAAGAAACAACTTAACCTAATGTTTTTCTACTTAAATTATAGCAAATTGGAAATGCTAATTAGCAATTAGTTAATTCCTATGGAAATTAAGTTTTTCCAGTTCTCTCTCTACGAGTTTCATTCAGTGAAAATCAGTTTAACAAAACATGTTTTGCTGGTGTGAATATAGGCTATTGGTTTAAGTTGCTGTTGAAATTCCTTTTTATCATAGTTTTCTTTCACTTTTTTTCAATAAGATTTCACAATCGATGCACATTGTACATTTTGCCTTATTAATTAATTACAAGGAAAGATAAACTCATTTTAACGGTATCAGTTGAATTCCTAAAATGCGCTAGGGGCTCGTTTCACTTAGGGAACTTCTAGGTTCCGCAAGCAGTATCGTTGTTCTCCAAGAAAATTTTGATAAAAAGATCTAAGAATATCAATTTGATCAGCCTCCAAACTTCAGTGCTGAACAACAACAGTTCAGCTAATGGGCTTATCTATAACTTAACGCACTGTTTTCATTGTTCGTATATGCATGCACTCTCTTTTCAGTTCCCTCCCGCCTCGATTAGCTCCGCTATTTTGCTGGTAGGGATTGTTATGAATATGTATTTGATTGTTTAAAGAAAGTAAATTTGCTTTCTTTGTTGTACGTTGAACTGAAGATTCAAAATTCTTGACATTGATCCATAGAAGAAGCAATTACACTTGGAATGAATTAATCACGTTTGGCCATACATATGTGTACAATCAAGAAAGAATCTCAAATGCATTATTGCTGAAGGTTTTCAAATACCACAAATTAAAGAAATGTTCACTTAGAAGATACCCAATCGATTTTCTTTTAAATAACTCCAAATGAGCAGTTTGTACTTCCTATTTTTAGAGAAAAATTATGCTTTGATTGTAGCCAGAGAAACTAATTGGACGTGATTTCAATAACCAAAACTCGCGGAAGTTGACGGTTCAATGCCTGTTTGACCTATAACTACTTCATCTAAATTTCAGATTTTTGTCGACAATCTGCGCTTCCTGTTTCAGCAACTACTGTTTTGGTGCAAAAAGGATGAGTTCCAAATATTCTCTGCCCAAAATAAGAGATGAAAAACGGTCTAAAAGGCTCCCACCCTCAAAGTCACGGGCGTTGTGGCAAGCCTCGGGAGCAAGTATCCAACCGAAGTTTAACAGATTGCCGTCAGAGTGTTACTCTGAAGAGTTCTTCCAAACTGCCCAGTGTGGTAAACATGTTTTCAGACAACGATCAGCGACTATTTGTTTACCTGGTGCTTCAAGAATCGGCCATTCAATAGAGGCATTGAACAACCGCGGCAGATTTATCGAAAACCTCAAATTTCCATCTCTGCGTCAAAGAGTAAAGTCGGATAGCTCAGTAGAAATCGGGGTTGTAGAAGGCTCGGTACCTGTTCAAAGAAGACTATCGTGCGTCTTACCAGATGTTTCAGGAAGGAAGGAAGAACCAAACTTTGGAGTAGCTCCTCTGAGACAGCAAGATGTTGAAAAATGGAACGATAACTTTGATCCAGTGAAAAGCACATCTCATAATTTAGCGAAGTGGCTCAGAGATCAAACCTGATGGCAAAGAGGCTACAGATCCCATTTTTCCGGGGGTGCTTCAATTAAAACGTGGCTGCTCTCCGCAGGATGTATAAACAATCTATTTTAAAGAAAGACACTGCAGGTCTCTCAACCTCTATAGACGAGTTATACTTGAAGTCAATCATATTCAGTCTGTTATGAGCTATGTTTTGTAACTATGGTTCACTGCTAGGTACACAATTATATGTACTAGGTATTAGAGCAAATTTTGCTTGAGGGTCGTAAGTCAGAATCACTGTAATCAAAACGGCGATCTAGAAAAGAGGAAAATAACATAAATATAACCAACAAGAACTCGACATAAACGTATTTGAATTGGCTGGGGCGCGGAAAAATCGAGATCTGGCGTTCTAAATTTGCATCTGATTGGTTGCGAGGGAGGATGATATTTCTAGACCAATCAGAAATCGTAGTTAAGCAAAACCAATACAATCCAGTTTTACTTTCAATAGCTTTTCAATCTTTGTTGTTGTGTGCATTAGCGATAATAGATTCAGACAACACGCTGTCGCTGAAAATGCTTTTCGTGGTCTGCCCAAGAGGAATCCATATGACTTTTGTTGAAAACACAGGAGGCCACCCAAAGGTGTCTTCATAGTGAAGTCTTTTAACGTTATAATACGTACATGTTTTTCCCTTAACATGGGTAAATAAAAGTGAAGACAGTATATGGACGGCTTATAGCTTGCGTCTGAGTAAAAAGTAATCGTGATCAGACTTCCTAACATTGTTCGTAACTTAATCGAAGATGAGAATTCAACTTTAATCAGTAGTAATCCGCGCTGTGCGTATTACATGTAATACATGCAGCCAACGTAAACAAGTCTACGGGGCCAAACAATTGGCCAGGAGTCTAATCTTGATGCGCACATCGCGTTTCGAAAATTACAATTTCCACTGATGTTTTCCTTACCGAAATTAAGTTCAGCGGGAGATTTGAGGGGTTAGTTTAAATTTTGGGTGTGACTATTTCAATGTGACTCTGAAATAATCTGAGTACAACATATTTTTTTTGCAAACTGATCCAGAGTTCAGAGGAATTAAGGGGAGCAAGGTTAACTGAGGAGAACAGAAGAATTTCTCTATAATTGGATATTGACTGGTAAGAAAACACAGCTGAAATAATAACAACCATATACATAGAGTACACATTTAAAGAAGCAAATTTCATAAACATTTGTTGTTGTTGCTCTGATTAAAACCCACGACGAGTGTCTGCTAAGACCAATAGATGATGAAAGCAACAGGAAATCCAAATATTGCATAAGAGGTTCTTAAAAATGTGTATTTTCATTTTGTCATAACGAGTAGAGTTGTTTGTCAAAACAACGCTAGAAAGCTGTATATAAAAAGTTTTCCTCGAAATTTTCTTTGCGGACAAAAGCTTATCATTGATCAGCGAAGAAACTTTACAAAACGGATAAATCATGAAAAGAATCATTCTCCCATCTGTACGCATGTTCGTAAAGGTGCTAAGGAATTATATGTATTTCATGATGCATGGAATGTTGTCTCCTGACTACCCTGTTGATCACGAGAAGGAGTTTCACTTCGGAAACATGTGGTCGGCAAAGGGTTGGAAAGAAAATGCTCTTGAACATCCATCTCACTGTATAAAAAAGTGCTGTGTCTGTTGAATGTCTTGTAATTAAAACCACAGCACAAGTACCTTAGTAGGAGTGTGAGGCTCAAACACCAACTGGAAAGCAGTGATGAACGCCAATTAACTAAGATGCAATGAAGATTATGTAATCCTCATCATTTTTAGCTCAAAGATTCAATATTAAGTAGATGCATTTAGTTCGCCTTTTGATGTTATAACTGTCCACCGATGAATGAGAGAAGGAGTTTTCCTCCTTTAAACAGGTCCGTGATAAAACTAGTTCGCCTTCAAGGTAGATTTGTTTCCAGACAAGTCACGGTTTGGCTTTTTTCGTTGTTGTTTTCCAGAAAACTGCAAGACAATACACAAACTGTTCAGCACCTATCGGGTTGCTCCTCTCACTTAACCTTTTACTTGATAACATTATCATTGGATATAAACCTAATACGTTTCTGGCTTACTGATGAAAAAATTGCGGATTAACGTTAGCTTTTCAGATTTAACTTGTTTAATTTTTCTTTTGGCATGTGACCATCCTCAGCGGCGAGTTTTCACGCAAAAAAAAAAAAAACAAGTGAAGACTAGACCCTCTTTATCATTTGTTCGACAAATCTGACCCCCACCCAACATTCCGTAATTGTACTGATGCTTCATCAGAGACTACTCACGACGACATATCAGAGTAAATCATTTTCTTTTCATAATGGAGTAGATATTTTACCAAATAAGGAATTTTCTGATGGACTTTAAAAATAATAGCTTTTTCGGTATGTTACGTGAAAATTCGCCCTTACGAGAATAAACTTGACGATATGAATTTCCGTAGTCATTGCAATGGTTCTTAAACGGGGGTGCCTAGAGCGTCATCATATGGAGAGCCACCTTAATTAGTTTCCTAAAAACATGCAGTCGCTCAAATATTTGGTGTCAGTTTATTAGGGACGAAATGCCATCGAAAAGCACAGGGCAATATTAAAAAGGAGCTGTTTGTGAAACTGATGAAATTTGGCCAAAATAAATTGAACTTTCAGAGTGCTTTTTTTTTGTTTTCCACAATCCGCCATCTTCATCCTAGCCTCTTTGAATCTTACCTACCTGAGAAAGCTTAGGGTTAAGATTTCGCCTGTTTGACAGTAATTTTAAAAAACTGTGAAAAATTAATCGATAAAAATGGATATTGTTATAAGTTTGTGTTATGTCTGTGGTTACAAATTCTTCCGACAGTCACGAGGTTTCTTTCAAGCGGACGACATGAAGCCTTAAGGTGTAAACCAAATATTGCAGAGCGGAATTTCCGTGTCGAATTATTTCCGTCTGTGAAATGTTTTGTCAAAAATTTCATTTTGTGTTCGTGGGAAGATAAAGCTTGATGTTCCACGTGACTCTAAATTTTTTTTCCATCTTTATGTTTTTTAAACAGATACTCTGATATTAGAGGATTTTGAATCACGAAAATTTAGATATTGTCTCTCTTTCTTGCATGTTTCTTCCAAGGAGGTTACTTGCATGCCATGATAATCGGAACCCCACAGGAATTTTCTTCTGACAACCAGAATAAATCCTTTGTTCTTTACGTCAGTTTTCTCGTTACGTAATAAAGGACATCACTTTAGACTTAAAACATCAATACAAAAAAGTTTCGAAACTTTCGTGACTCATCACATCTACGCGCGTGGATCAAAAGAACTTAATTAAAATGGTTCACTACAATTTCCAATTCAAAACCACACAGAAAATATCATGCTTCATTCAGCTATTTGAGGTGCTTGCGGAACCCCGGACTCCAAGTGAGAAGATCAATATCTATCATCAACAAGTTGAGCTTTTTGGCAATGTTGTGGACTAACAACAAAACCTCATCTGATTATGGCGTTAACTGGATTTGTCAAAAAATGTCAATAGACAGTTCCATCTTTCCAAGATTTAAGCAGCGGAAGGTCGAAAAATTTTCAAATATAGACGCTGGTAATTTGCCAGCAATTAATTCTTCGCCTAGTCAGTGCTTAATTATTGTACAGTATTACATGAGTCACCATCAAACAAGCTATAAATTAGTTCGTTCTATTTGCGATTGACAGCTTATTTGCGTCATGCTACAACATTAATCGTTTTATATACACGTCATTCGCACATCAGTGAACTCTTGTAATCATGACTCGGCAGGGGAAGCCATTAGCACGCGTTCGTAAATCAATCAAACTTTAAAATACTGTAGTGTAGTTTCAGCAAATTAAAATGAGTGCCTGACATCTTCAGGTTCCATCCTCAAAACAAACCCCTCATTAATCCAGCAAATCTATAGAACTCGTTCCGCATGCTGAAAAGGCGGACACTTGCGGTTGATTACGTTTGTTCCCTTACTTGAAAATGTTACCATAACGTTGCGTTTGAATTGTTCAATTGTCCATTCTGTGCATTCCTTTTTAAGATAAAATACTTACTTTAAGGGTTCATATTCCCCGAAGGTGTTTCAAAAACTGGCCTTTTAAATCATGAGCTCTTTTCTACCGTTAGAGAATAGTCCATTCATCTTCTAAAGATATTGAAATATTTGCGGTTTTCTGCTTTTCAATTTAGAATGATCTTTTAAATTGTTCAAACTAATAAAAATTGCTCTTAAAATTCCACCGTTGACCACACTCTTGCTGCAAGAACCTCAGGTATCTTCACTGAGACAGACAACAGGTGGCATATCAAATGATTTTTTATAAGCTCTGATTCAAAATTGGGGCCGTGAAGGTTAACACATATCAGTATAACTTACAGTTCCTTTCGTCTAAACTTAAACCTTTGCGATAAGCATGAAAACTTGCTTCATTAGATCTTGAGCCATTTTCAAGTCAAAGATAATTTTCCTTAATAACTTTGAGGTTACGTGATAATTTTTTTTCCAGTAAAAAAACAAACAAAGACGTACAAAAAGGTAAGGATTAAGAATATTAATGAAAGCTGCAAATGATGAATTTCACAACTTTAAGTTTGACGTTTTCGTAAGAAAGACACACGAAGGGTTATGTCCTTGGAACAAATGATAAGGTGGCAAAGGGATAGAGGCGTTATTTTTTCCCCTTAAATTTAGACTGAAGAGAGAAAAACAGAAATTTGACTCTCAAAAATTTGCAACACGAGGCTGCTTTTTTGGTTATTTAGAAAACCTTAATAAAGTAAACCGAAAGACCAAGAAACGAGGAAATTGGAAAACAAAACTATACGACACGAGTGCTCGTACTTTCAGTTTCTTATGTCTACAAAACAGGTGATTCTACTGCAAGATTTCCTCCTCCTGAGGGGCTTCTTGCGCAGAAAAACAAGGGAGCACTTTGCGACATGAATTCCCTATTTTGTAGAAAAAAATTGTACTACTCTGATGGCCTTCAAACATTCTGAACACGATGCTCTTGCTTTTGCTTTGTCTTTTTACCCGCTGCTATTACTCGCTGCTATTACTCCTTGTCAAGCGTTATACGTTTTTTAAGACCCAATAAAAGAAAGCTGCCAAACTTAACAGTTATTAAAAACACAGAGCAGAGAGAAGGGACGTTCCGAATTTGTGCTCGATACCCTCTCAATCAACTGAAATTCAAAGATCTCGCTGGCGAATCAGGCCATGTAGTTGTTTTAGGTGAAAGAATTGATCGCTGTGTGCTTTTTTAAAGTTTTCGAAAGCTTCCAATGTAGATAAATTTTTAATTAGATGTTCCGCTTTCCATCCCATCCAGGGCTTATTCTAAGAGCGCCGTGCAGTAAAGTTGAATAACACAATCAAATTCGCGAACACCAATTGGGTATGGTGGATAAGTAATTTTTCTTCCATTTGAAATATTTGCAGAAATAATATTTTAAAAGCGATAACTTTTGAAAAGTAACGATACAAGCATGTTTAGTCATAATTTTTTTGACAATTGAAGAACTCGCAAGGACCTACTTTAAGTTAAAGCCGAAGAGATCTCGTGTGGTCGTAATGGTCAGGCGTTGTGACTAGTTTGTTTTCCTTCCAATATGCAGGTCTAACGAGCTTATGTGATATTACTTGTTTTGTGTAAAATGACAAAACGTTTAATTTAACCTCTTGAAATCAAATACGTGCTTCCTAAGAGTTGCGATACTATGACGAGAAAACCACCTTTTCTATAGGTTTTTCACATAGTTCCTGTTTTCTGATTGTTTGAAATTATTTCTTTTGTGTTCGAATTTTGAAGAAATCACGACAATTCCTCTCTGACTTGACTCACCCTTTTACTTATTGAGCAAAAAAGAGGACATATTTTCGACCCAGTTTCTAAGTCGTTTCCCGAAAAATAGGCGAAAAGTCTGACAACTATGTTGAATTCCAAGTTCTCAGAGTAACGATAACCTTTGGCCAAAATACAATATTGTTAACCGGTTATTACAAGCATCCATACATTAACGCCTTGTTTTGTATTGATGCTTGTCTCTGGTCATTTATTTATCTCTCTTTGTCCACTTAGTTTATCCTCCACCATGAACTGAAGGCCAAACATCAAGTGGTGAGTTAAGTGACCGGGATGTTTTGTTTCATGACACGACACCAATTTTTAAGGGCTGTACAAAAAATAGATGGGTAAAATAGGAAAACACTCTTACGACGTGTTAAATTTCATACGTGAGCTGATTTTTAATTTTGCGACACCGAGAATTCCTGAACCTTCCTTTTCATTCTTAATCAAGTTTGCGTATTTTGCTACCCACTCAGGAAACACGCCGAAACCAACGGAAGATAGATCATAAGGTCGAGAAAATTGCGGCGCCATTATGGATTGTTCCTTTTGTGTTATTCAAGTTGGCTGCAGGCTATGTTCAACCAATGTAATCCGCGTTAAGTATAGATCCAATATTCTCCTTTTCAAACGTAAAAAGGCATTGAAAAGATACAATAAACAAAACCTCTAAAAGCCAGCCACATAAAGGGTCTCTTGTGTTCTAAAGCCCTGTGGTTGGTTATAAACTAAAGATAAATGAATGTTTGTGAAGCCAGTGGCGTTGTGGATTTCAAGAGTCGCCAAACATGACGCAATAGGAACTAAGTCTTAATAGTTTTATAAATAGGCCATTAACTTACGAATACTGAGTAAGAACGCGCTTTGGTTTCGACAAAGATAAACAACTTCCTTGCCCAGGGCTATAATTAATTAGTTATCTTTGAAATATTCCAGTGGACTTCTTTATCCGTATTCATTTAATTTGCAAGGCAATTGTTAGGCCGACACAACGGATTGTTCTTTAATTAGAAAGTTACGAATACATTAGCGTTTTTGCACACCTTTCAGGACAAAGGAAGAAAAATGGTTCAGAAATCGTGCTCTGCTGCGAAGAATAAGCCTTTTGTACTTTATCAGCTTGAAATTAAAAAGTATGATAAACATTTTGTGAGTATAATGAATGTCTCAGCTTGGCCTAGGTTTCAAGTTGAGTAGCAGCGTGCTGTGAAAAACCTACCTCGCTGAATAATCGCTGAGTTTATCTTTTTAAAGAAGTAAAGACTTAAAAAATTCGCTATTCTCGATGAATTCCGCATAGCAGCCGAGGAGTATTGCATAATATCCGATCACGTCTTTTTGAACCAAATTGGCTTCGACCGAAATTTAATTAATTTATTAAACCTATTGCTTTAGTGAAACAACGAACGAGGTGTTAAAATATCCATGGCTACAGAGACATTTTAATAATCTTTATTGAGCGTTAATTGTATTATAGAGTCTCTTTAATCACCACACAGCGGTCAAAAACGTTGCTGTTGAGCTTTTGAAGTGCGAAATTTCGTCAAGAACTCCAAGGTATTCGAATTCCGGAGACGCGCAACTTCGACATCTTGGCGTCAATTTTACCTTCGCCACTCAGAACCTATTAACATGTAATAGGGAGAATTAAGACAACAAGACGATGACACAAATACATTTTATCAACTTCCTGGGTGGAATAGTGTTAAGAAGAGGCCATGGGGGCCAAAGGAACAAACAAACTTAAGTATTATATTGTTAATATCGCCTTAATCATAACGCAGCCCGCTGATTGGCTGCTGAAAATGGCCTATTTATTTTAAGGCCTTTGTTTGAACAAATAAACATTGATTAAAACTATGACAGTCGGTCATTTTGATTAACTAACAAAGGACGAAGATTAGGGGCAAATATAAAATCTGCATTAATCTAACTTTTCTTTTCAAATAAAAATTGTTAAGGACGAAGCTACTCCTTGGCGAGGACAAACATTCTTGGTTGGTTTACAGAGTGGACGGTGGACTGATAATGGATTCGGCCGCGCGACCGAGCATGGTCTTCACGGAGAAGAAGGAAAAAGAAACGCAAAATGGATCAGAGCATTCGATAGAATCGGCCCTTATTCAAGCTTCAAGTAAAGGTTACACGATCGATATGATTCTTGGAACAAACGATCGAAGACCAAAACCCAAACAGGAGGAAGCGTTCGAACAAGAAAGCAAACTGTCAAGAAATTCTAGCGACGACGAAGGTAAATTAAATAAACCATCACCACGTTCGCTTTCAAGTTGATATTACAATCTTATGACACACTTGAGACAGTTTACTCAAGGAATTTCAATGCACTCGTCTTCTCTTTTCGCTGAACGCTCTGCAAACATAGCGGAAAGTTTCAGATGAGGTGCTAATTTCGTGTTTAAATTTCAATTTCCCCATCCTTGAATTGTCAAACAACGAGGAAATGTTTACTTCGCTTTCAATTCTAACCACAAGCGTAGATTTTTGCGAGCTCGAACCATGACTAACTTTCGGAACTGAGTGTTGGAACAGTGCGCCTTTTGATGTTCAGTGCGACTGCCGTGATTTGCAAATTTACATGCGGCAGAAGCGAAGGCAATGCTTGAAGTGTTTAAATGCAGTTAACCGGCTTGCTGTGCTTTTATTTATCCACTTAATTTTCTCATTTGTTAGATGACTTGAGCGTGGGCGACGAGAAAGGATTCAAGGACGAGGACGACCTTGACGAAAATGATGGCAAGCCGAGAAAAATGCGCCGGAGTCGCACCACCTTCACGACCTACCAACTTCACCAACTCGAGCGCGCTTTTGAGAAAACACAATATCCTGACGTTTTTACAAGGGAAGAGTTAGCCTTGAGGCTGGACTTGAGTGAGGCACGAGTGCAAGTGAGTAAGGTTTTTCAATTATTCATAGTCAGTTCTAGGCACAAAAAATGGCAGGACTATTTGGGGCGAAGCAGCCGCGAAGTAATCTGTGTTTCTAATCGGCATTTTGGCAGCAGTCGCTGCGAGAGGCGGTGAAAGGCGGCGCGAATTCTCTATGTTTAAACTCGGACTTTTGATGAAAACGTGATAAAATCAACTTGTGACTTTTGTGTTGTATGACTGTGCATTTTACCCCGTATTCAATTCATTGCAGATCATTTTAAGGTTCTTGCTTATTATCAAGAAGCAAATAGGAAAAGAAAAATTAAACTGGTTTTTATAGAAGGGTGTTTTTTAAGTGGCTCGTCCTGATCTGGTTGCGTGGCGCCCGAGTCATCTTTTTTGAGAATGCAACAATATTTAAACTTTTGCGATTGAGTAGTTGTGATACAGTAAGAAGCTTTTGTTTCATCAATTACGTGGGTGAAAATCAAGCTGATGAAATAACAGCTCCAGTCGCCTTACTCATTAAATCAATGAGTTACAACCTAGTATTTACGACAAATTTAAAATTGTATTTAACATTTGTAGCTCTGATAACTTTCACTGGAAAGCGTGAGCGAAACGACACTGAAAAAAAAAGCTTTGAATTTGAACGCTTGGAGAATTCAAGGCCGAACAGCTAGCTGGCGCAAGTGATTCTTATAAAACAGCTATTTTGATTACAGCAATTGGAGTTGCTGTCCTAAGAGGGGAAAAATTACCGTCTGAATAACGTGTTATGACGAAAATACTGGCCATGACGAAACAGTGTACGTTACGTACGTTACGGCCTAACGACTCGGTTACGCCCGGAGACCGTAGAGTGGAACATGTTAATCTGCGAGGGCTTCTAAACGAAATTTCGCTTGAAATTGAAATTTAGTTGAAAAGTAACTCGTTCACGTTTTGAAAGCGAAGCAAATGAAATGAGCCTAATAATGATGCAATTTGGTTCGAAACGCGGCTGTCTCTAAAAGCACAAGACAACAGACGTTAAGCTCGTGTTGTGACAATTTTTATGCCATGTAATTAAATTTCGGAAGGTTTTGTGAAATTTCAGAGATATTGAAATTTGCATCCAGTTGTCGGCGTGTAAAAGTGTATACCAAAGCTTTTTTCTGCTCTAGCAAATGACAGTTTAACCTGCGCGGTTGAAAAGATGTCTGAAGGGTAATTAATAGATTGAAACAAAAAAGTTTTTATTCGATTGCAATGATAGTGTTTGGGGCAAAGCGTTCTTTTCTTGGTATCGCTCTGAATTTATTTAGTTCTGACGAAAAGCTATTAACCACTGTAAATTGCATTTTAAGTGAATATGTATACAAAGACAGTACAATTGAGGCAATTATTTTGTCGTATTAATGGGTTATATTGAACAGCCATGAAAACAAAGTGGATAATTAATCATGACGTAGATACTAGAATTGGCAATTAGCGTAGGACCTTTTGAACAAGCCAGGCTACCTTTATAATGATTTCAATGGCACGACGCAGTCATAAAAATAACTATTGCCCCAGGGGTTTGGTGGTAGGAAACTGAATGACTTAATTATGAAGAACCTCTTGCTTTCAAAACCTGACTAAGTCCTGTGTCATTGTAATTACGTCAAACGAAATCAAGTTAGAATTGCTCAGCAAAAAAAAGCTTGAAGGTTTCACTTCATTTGTTCTCTGAAATATTAGCGTTGTAAAGTTACAAGAAACCTGTTTACAGTCGTCATTACTCTAGGCATTTCTCTCCTATTGAGTTGTCGTTGAGGTTCACTGAAGTCAGAGAAACATTTCTGACATCTTTTTGCTATTTCCTTTTGAATATGCACAAAATATGTTTCCTCTAGAAAGCACTTGATGACGGTGAAGTGCCAAGGATTACTGGACTAATTTGATGTGATAAACAATAGGATAAACTTGAAAAACATCGCCGCTTACTTGTGTACTCATATAAATTAAACCGTAATTCTTGTTGAAACTACTGTTCCTCTGAAAAGTAATAAAGTTAACGCGGATTTGGAAAAAAAATTATTGCCACCTAGTTTAGAGCTAATAAGAGTATTATTGTATACACTCGTTCTGTTTTCATTACACACACGCTTGTAAAGGTGCTATAAACAATGTTGTTATGAAACCAACCTTTTTTGAACGCTCCTGGGTATGCCAGAATCGTAAAGTTTCTTATTCGGTCACTTAAGACTATTTGGCTTACATTTTCTGCGACAGGTCTTGTTTGAGTTTTTAATTTACAAAACAAGGTACAGTGATCAAAGTCTCTAAAAGAGTTACTTCATAACTGCTTGCGTGCTACATCAAGTTAATTTGTATTCAGAAGAGAATGCTCTCAATCACTTAGCCGGAAGGCAAAATTACACAGACAAAGTCCAACATCTGTGGGTTTAAATTGATAGTTTGGTAGACCTAAAATTGCATAATATAAATAAAAACACCTTAATATGTCTATAGTTTGGGCTTTTTGTAATGATTCTGATAAAGTAAAGAGTAAGTTGCGAAATCAAATCTCTAATCTTGACAAACCACTCCTCGTTTCGACAGGGAATTAGAATAAAGACTTTTTATCTCAAAGGATGTTGTTAATGAAATCCCAAATATTGATTTCAGCTCAAGCTAAAAGGCCTCTGGTGAATGCTATAGATAACGCACCTAATAAACAGTTGAAAGAATTTTAATTACTCAGTTAATCAACAGAAAATCTGATTTTTTCCGTATTTCATCGGAGAAGATGTGTAACTTAGCATCCAACTTTCTTGATCTTAAAACTGCGTGTATTACATCCTTCGGCGGCACATTTTAGTTCCAATTGTGTCTGTCTGTCTCGTTAGTGCTTTCGTAAACCCATGGCGTCTATTGCATTTTTCGCAATATTTCTTTATGATATGAAAATATAGGTTATTAGATAAAAATCTTCAACCAACAGCTTCTTTTCACATAAGCCCATATATTATCTGAATGCTATGTATCTTTAAATTGTGTTATACACGCGATAAAACTTTTTTTCTTTTCCTGGGTTTGCATAAAAAATACATTTCTATGATTCATATATGGATTTTCCTATCACAAGATAATGAGAAATGGACGGAAACAGGTTTAAAAGAAGAAACTAGCCTCCCTCCTATGAGCCTCTTCTAAGTTAGCCGGATAACTTTTGCCTTGGTCGTGAAAGATCGTTTTCCCGGGCTGTCGTTAAAAGATCCAGTCAAGAAAAGGCCGCAAATTCGCTTTCTTGCTTGCTAGATACACATTGTTACTAGAGCCACTTTGCCCGCATTTTTTTGTGAAGTTTGTGCTGTATTAAACAAACTTCACAAGGATACTAAAAGCTTTGATTTCCAGTAAGGACATTGCTAGGCAAAACTGTCAATTAGGTAAGGAATCACTAAAATCTTTAAAGAATGGTAATATGGCCGTCTCATACTTCTAATCTTATCTATGTCGAGATTTAAAATGATAAAGTGACAGTGAACAAAATTTACTGGTTCTGAAATGGCTCTGTTTCCTGTTTATACGTTTAATGCATTTGTAAATTAGTCTTTGTTTTCTAATGGGGCCATTACAATCGAAATAAGTCAGTGCGAAGAAGACAGTTTCTCCCAATCGTTTCTTATGCTATAACAATGCCTCTGTAAAGATAAATATATTAAACAAATTAAGGATTATATTAAGCCTTTAATACATCCGAAATCTATTTCTCATAGACCTTTATCGCTTCCAATTGATACCAACACCATTAATATTATCTATTAAACGTGATTATATGGAAAAGCATGGTATAATGGACTAAAAATGTCGCTGAAGTTTGAAAGCGAAATTTTCATGCTAAAACCTTTTAGCACATTTTGTCCGTTTGGACACAATCTCTCCGGTGTGTTTAACATTTCATGGTTTTGATTTCAATTCTCTGAGAGCAACCTTACACTACATGGCTTTATAGGATTCCTAGTTCAGATACATCTCTATCGTATGTGTGTTTGGAAAAATAATTATAGTTTACTAATTTTCAGCAAATCATGATAAAACCGTATTTTTCTTTGAAAAGAGAGAAGAAAAGGAAAGCTGTTCGCTAATTACTATCAGTTAATGTATTATGTCGCAAGTTTTCCTTAATACATGTGGCTTCAACACTTCGACACGTGCCCAAAGCATGGTGTTCTTCTTCCTGCCACGCGGTTTTCGTTTAGTTTTTTTTGTCCGATCGCGAAGAATGATACGCGTACATTTCTAGAACTGCCGGTACCTTAACTGTCCTTTACTACAATCGTGTAGAAAATTCAGTTTATTTAAATAGTGATGCGCAAAGACTGAACAAAAGAGACAATTCAATGTTCGATAAACCTCATTATCGAAAAGGGAAAACACCGAAGCCATGTCGTTAAGAAAGAGACTCGCAGAGAGAGATGCATTCGGCGACTGAGATCACACAGTGAGTCTTGAGGTTTGAAATTTTAAAAGGCAGCTTATCAAGGATATTTCACATTGACAATCCTTTAACGTCTAATGTATGGAGTTCGTACGCTAAACACTAGTCTGAGTGTTGAAATAGCGTTTCCTTAACAATAAGTGTGGGGCGTTTATTGTTTACGACAGCTGCAGACTAGCCAAGAGAGGACAACTATTAAAGTGATTGTTGTTGGAAGCGGTATTAATAGCGTTTATGGATGGCATTGTGGTACCAGTCAAGAATGATTGCTGATAATTACCGACCACTAGGCAAAGAGACACACGTTGTGACTTAAAACTCGTGGCCTTGCGTTGCTTCTCCAAACAACTTCTCTGCGCTGGCGACATGTCTGAAACAATTATTTCTCATTTCAATTCTTAGCTAGAATTTTCTCTGCGGCAAAAGCTGCGTTCATGGAAAGATCAATTGTATCTTTAGCGAATAATGGAGAAGGATGAAAAAAAGTACAAGAGATAATGGGTTTTTTTGCTTGTTTTTGACAAATTATAATTAATTTCCTCTATAAATCATTTCACCGTTTGTTTTCCTCAACTTTCCTCGCAGTCGTCTTAAATGAGATCAATCATCTTTACCTTCATTTCCTTCATTTATTTCTTTGTTTTATAAATCAATCACTAACTTGTTCTTTCTTTTCCATCGTGCCCCTTCCAGGTATGGTTTCAAAACAGAAGAGCTAAATGGAGAAAACGGGAAAAGTCCATGGGACGCGAAAGCCCTACATACCTTTACGGGCCATCGAATGACTACAGGGCCCTTCAAGATGTTCCGCACGTGCACCCTGGTGCACATCCGTTCACTCCAGGAGTGGACAGATGGCACCCGCATGTCCCAGCCCTAAGCCTTTTGTCTCCTTTCGCCACTGCACCAAGTCCATATGGTCCCCTAGGAACCCATCTTAACGTTCCCGGACTCTCACCAGCAGCGATGTATACACACCATTTGTACAGACAGTACGTCAGACCGGGAATGACACCATTTCTAAAGAACCCCTCGGAAACGCAGGAATTTCGAAGAACGAGCATAGAAAATCTGAGATACAAGGCAAAGCAACACAGCACCGCACAATCACTAGCTGATGGAAACAAGACTGTTTAACTTATAATCCGCCAATTTGCCTGCAATATAGAGCCATTTTTTACTATTCTATGTGCCGACAATAAGTATAGATAAAATAAAACAAAGTTAATCTCCTCTAATTTATATTACAGTAAAGAATCCAATTAGGTTTTAGCGCTTAGCTCGAGCATTTCTACAACAAATATATAGACTAAGAATTGTGTATTGGCCTTCCAAGAAATCGAGTTTCAAGAGAAATCAATTTAACATGTCACTCGATGGGGCTTTTTATGAGGACCAACGACTCTGGCTAACTTAGTAACAGTCAAGCCAAGTAGAAACACACCACTAATCTGCGTAAAACATTGACTTGTAAAGAAATTACTTTGCGACCCAAAGTAAAGTTGATCAACAACATCACTAATTATTTTTTTACACATCGACGTATATAATTGGTTATTGGCCTATAAGGTCATAAAATCAGCAAGACATTCGTATAGAATCATAATTACAACTCGAAAATAGAGTCCACCATCTTCAAATGTTGTACATAGTATTCATTATACCTCAGCAATACGGCTATCCATCGTTTTGAGGTTAATGTAACTTATTATAAGAATGTGTGCTTTTTTGTAATAACGAGGAATTGAAAATATATTTAAAATAGTAAAATATATTTCTTATTTATAAACGCTGAAATGCTTGGTGCATGTAAGACCTCGATTGTGGTAATACATTAGTTTGGATAGTTAGAGCACGTGCATACCCATACTTGTATTTTTCTAATCTAAGGTTTCACAAAGTCACACGCATTTTTTCTTCACTTTTCGTTGTGTCACCTTGAAATACGCTTATTTCAAGAAAAGCAGTTTCTAGAACAATTTTATGGCTTTGTAGTTTCTTTGCAATTAAAGTCTGTCTGCTTTGAATTGGGTATTAATGATATGGTTAAACATTTAACTGAAGTATTGTTAAAGTTTGTGAGCTAACTAAGAAGTGGTAAATAAAGTTAGATTCTATAACTTTGCCCATTAAGTAGCAGGCCTGTAGTTTGTTAAGATCTACTGGGAAAACTTCATCTTGTGTAGAGGTTATTGGGCTCAATAGTAGCATAAAGAGTAAAACCTTGAGGGACTAAATGGAATCATATTGAGAAGGTCTCCGTGGGAAGCCCGTTTGACGGCAGACGGTTAAATTTTAGACGATATGACGGCTGCAGTTAATTTGTTGGAGTTAATGTAATATTAGTAGTTGTTATTTGCTCTTTAAATATTAAAAAAGGCACAATTTAGCAAAAATTGGAATAAATCAATTTTCATAAAATTATCAAAACTTGAGTAAACCTTTTCGAAGGAGTCTGCGTCAGAATGAAAAAACGCCGTGGAGAAATTCGAAAACTTTTTCAAATTTTCAAGCTTGAAGTGTTGCTTCAGTTGTATATCGTGAAGGATTTTTACATAATGTGTCCAAGAATCTGACTGGAACTTAATGATTTTCTTGACCGGAAATGTTTCGGCTGAATCGCTCAGCCTTCATTAGTCTGTTGGACGGTGAGTGGTAACACATTACTGTAGCAATTAAGAGACTGATGAACGATACAGCCGAAATATTTCCAAGAAAATCAATACTTCCCAGTCAGATTCCTCTGCACGTGTTCAGAACGTCACGGTGGACCGAACATTTCTGCTTCGATCTTTCCATAAGTTCATTTTGTAAAAAATTCACCTGATTGAATGTGTAGAACATATGACTCCATTTTGGTTCTCAATGGTAAATGTCTAAGAGAAGGCTTATATTGACTGTCTTTATTGACGACTGACGGCAAAGATCTTCCATTTTAAACGGTTAATGATTAATATTTTAGCCATTTGATGGTTGACGGTTTAGAACCTTTCTAGTCTATCGGATAAGGTGACTGAATAAAGTATTCAGAATTCGGGGACCAGATAGTCGCACCGAAGTATGAAAGATGACCCGTTTCCCCTCCGGCCTGCATTAGGTGAGAATGATATTAACAGAACATTTGAAGTGTTTTGTCTGCACAGCGCTCTTGGGAAGTTGAGAAAGATATAACCTCATGTCACTCTTCACCATTTTGGATTTTTATCAGGTAGATTATGTTTTTATGCGGTTTTTTTCTTTTACGAAGAACTGAGAAATTGACAACACGAATAAATAAATAAATAAATAAATAAATAAAATTGCCAGAGCATAATGTATTGAAATACAAAGTTTTTTCTTTCAAGGACTTATACATCGATTCTCCGAGTAAGCTGTTGGAGAGTGTCGTTAAGAAAGAAACTTTTGGCACGAACCAAAACTTTCTATTAATATCTATCACCATCTCTCTTTAAGAAAGGTTCGACTCCTTAGGTATGGTTAAGGGAAAATACTGTTACCTTATTTTCTCTTGGCATGACTATGACGGGTCCCTAACGATAAGCTCTTGCCTTCTGCTTCTATGGTTCATAAATTTACCTGATTTCTCTCTCGTTGCTCGTAAAATATTACTTTTATTGATAGTGATAGAGGAAACTGTAGTCAATCATTAAAAAAAATCCCGCGCATACTTGAGCTTTGCTCACTTGACCTATTTCTACTAATCACGAGAGGGGGATGATTCGTGCGCGGTTACTAATGCAACAAGATGGCGACTTTCTTGGAGCTGTAAGAATTTGTCAAACTATCATGGCCTGGATTCCCTTTGCAGGAAATTTGCTACGATGTCTTTCGCCTTTGTTACGTTTCATAGTGTTCGTTTGCAGCCTGCTTATGACATGAGTAGGATCTAAGTTTCACAACTAGCCCGGTGAAGCCTTAAAAACTGTTGTGCTTCTCAGCGAGTTTTCCTTCAGGAGTTCATGGTTTGAACCATACATTTCTTTCACAGTTTATGCCTAAGCATTTAAAAATAACCTCCTACGTGATATTTTCCTTTCTTATTTTATCACCTTTTTGCTTGAAAATTTAATGATATTGTGCAGAGGAATTGCACTTTTGTCACTCTTTGGAAGGAAAGGGCTAATTTCTGAAGGCTTCTGCATCACTCTCATTCAACAAGAACTAGTAAAATCACCCTATTTAGGCCACATTTTTCAAAGGTGTATTGCTGCGACGGATAGATATAAGTATTTATGAAAAAGGACAATTTTTTTTAAAATTTCAGTTTAAAAAATGAATAAACAGTGAGCATAAAATTTTTAATCAACCCAGAGTGGTTGTACTATGCCTTGTCATATTCTTAACAGCTTAGTATCCCCAATCCAGCCAATGTTCACTTTGTTATTGCTAAAGGGATTGGCGCACTCAAAAAATAACTATGATAATTCTGATGTTGAATTGCATTGTAGATTTATTACTTGATTTGATTTATTTGCATGACTTATGCTATGTTCTATATTCCAGGACAGTGGAATACCCTCAGTTGATTTATGGGTGTCATGGCGTCAGAGTGCATCAAGGTCAGGGGTATAAAGGTCGAGGTAAATAATATTGTTAGGTCTTGCTTTATATGGTAACTTTGATATCTATTTGTATGTTTTCATGATACCTTTTTAACCAAGGTATGACTTGTTGTTTAGTTGTAAGTCTCATTAACCTGAAAATTGTTGCCATGCATGTGAACGTGGAACTGATTACTGTTTTTCTTACAAAATGTGTCACATGTGTTGTTGTGGTTTTAATGACAGAGAAGTTAGTCTTAAAAGACTCTCATGAATATTGACTTGTCCAAAAATGTGTATGTCGATATATCAGCCAGTACAATAACACTAGTGATTTTATTTTTAAAAAGATATTACTTTGGTAAATATATACAATAGCCACCACCATATACTTTAGGCATAGTAAGCTTCAAACAGCAGAGACTTGAAGTACATATGACCAAAACTTCAACTTGTGTCTTTACAATAGAAGTGAGTTTACAGGTAAGGGAGGAGGGTGTAGGGGAGGGGTGGGTGGAGAAAGAATAGGGTTGTTGGTACGTGTTGCTATGGTGATGAGTCTATAATCTAGGTTATGGAAGTTGGTTTTCGTTTTGAGATGCTCCTTTTCTTGCCCCTGGTTTTACCATTACTATCTTTTCCAGATATAGGGTTCTGTTCGCACAGTGGGTGTTGTTAATCTCAGAGAAATTTATCTTTTATATCTTAACTTGACAATACTCAAAAATGTGTAGATTACTCAGAAGAGTACACAGGCTGATCTGTTATTACTTCTTACTGCAGCGCAGTAAGGGAATGTTTGACAGTTCACCAACTTTTTTGGCATTCCGTAAGTCAAGGATTACAGTCATCTTGAAAGGCCCCCTTACCCTGTGTATTTTCTGATTCAACCTGTTACCAAACTTCCCTATGTTCCCTATGCTAACGGCCCGAAGAATCATTGGTCCACATTCTCTTAATAGCCTCTAACTCTCAAGATTCAGTTAGCAATCCTCCCTTCTTGCCGTCTTACATTACCATGTAATTAAGACACTGGACACCATGCTCTGGCTGATAAGCTTGTCTGATCTCTGCAAGATGAGATATTTGCATTGCGATTAAAAATTACATGTTAGCTATTTCAATTCTAGTAATTAAAGGGTTAAG